GTGGGCCGTCATGCAAGCAAACACCCCGTCTCTGGCATTGTGACTGCATGCCAAAGGCGTCCAGTGTCAGTCCCTGGGTCGAGCTCGACTCAAAAACTTTAAATTGCATCCTCATGCAAATGTGAGGCAACTCCAGCCGAAGCCATGGTCCTGTCCGCTGCTGGCTGGTCAGATCCAGTTGGGGGCACGGCAAGCAAGAATTCATGTACTGAACGGCGCAAGGCTCTGATGGAGTACATGAGCAACATTTTTCGTGTGCGCAGACTCGTAATGAACAACACAAGCTCTTGAGCCTTGGTAGCAAAATCCATGCAAACGGCACCAGAAGAGATCTGTACATAAGTTGCTCGTGGCCAAGGATCTGTGCCAACATCAGCGTCCACGTTTCAGCTCGGTGGGTTTTTTTTTCCCCAGCAGATCCAGCAGGTCGTGGACATTGCGACTCGTTACGGAGTACTCTGCACCCGTCTCGCCCCTTTGGTGTCATGACGCCTGCTTCTTGGTGCCCAATAGTTGATCTTCGCCTCGCCTTGTGCGGCCTGCGTCGCAGCCCTTTGTCGGCTTTCTGCCGAGTGTAGATTCCCATTTTCATCTTGATTTTTCTGGCCGCCTGGTCGGATTCAACCCTGGAATGTAGTTAGTCCGGGTCCGCTTTGGGTGCTGACAACCGGCCGCCTGGCCATGTTGGACAGCAACAAGTCTCTGCATAGGGCGGAATGAGGCAATCACGCTTCCGTTGCGATGAGTGATGACGGTCTAGTCGGAAAATACACAACAGGTGCCGAGCCAGGCACTTTTTAGGGCCTTGGCAAGATTGGCTCGAAACATATGTACACCGAGGTAGAGGGGTCAGGCCAAGTAGTACGTAAATCCCGTGCAGACAGATGCCGGCATTGGACAAGCAAATGAGTCGTTGCGGATTGCCAGGCACTGCTCGGACGCACGAGTGCTCAGGTGCTCAGCTCAGGTGCTCAGCTCAGGTGCTCAGGCGCTCAGGTGCGTCCCGTGCGATTTTCACATCTGGATTGCGCTCTGCATTGTCGACGTCCGTCGCGACTTCCCGGACACCAAACCCACGGGTTATTGCCAGTATTATTAGTCAACGGTTTGCTGGTTCCACCTCCGCCCACGCCTCCCTCCCTCCTGGTAGCCTATTTTCCAGTCTTCATGCAATTTCTTTCTCGAAGCATACTATCCAACGTTAAACCCAGCCGGCGATCAAATGGGACGCTGAAGAGGTAAGGATGAGGGGGGGAGGGGATGCGTTGTACAAACATGGATCAAGGCTCTAATGGTGGACTAGGCTCATTTCCAACTCGCCGTGTTCCACGTGTACTTATTTTTTTTTTTCCAACAGCCTGCGGCGTAAACACGTTGAGATCTCGAGACGCTCCCCGCCACAAGACACGTGGACACACAGGCCTACCGATCAAACAGAGGTTCCGAGTCGAGGTCCGTCCCTCATGTCAATGTCTAGGGCGGCTTGGTGTCGCCGATCCGTCGCTCCTCAGCTCCAGTGAGACGGCTGTCATGGAGTTGGAGGACTAGCACCAGTGCTGATCTGAGTGGCATAGCTAGCAGTTCTTTCTCCAGATAACAACCCATGGCGTTTCCTGTTGACTCGCTCCAGGATTGGCACGCCGTCAAGCTCAAGTGGGCGCCACTTGGTCGTAAGTGGTACTCGAGGCTCTTCGGCTCATCAGGCCATATTCATTTTAGCAGCTCTGGAAGGGCTTGGCTAGACTTCTAAATACTTACGTTGCCTGTCCCTCCCTCAATAACTACCTTTTCTACCCACCCAGGCTAACGCTAACGGGCTCGAGTGTGCCTGCTTCAGACTTGTCTGTTACCTCGCGGTCACGGACATAGTAGCCAAGTTGCACTCCTGTCCCAATCTCGTACAGAGTATATTCAACAACTAATAGCTGGCGCACTGTGGTCCATACATACCTTTCACTAGTAACACGCACTCTTGTTGCCATCTACCGGGTCTCCAAGCTTGATGCGTGCAACAAGGAGCTGTGCCAGAGAGCCCAACAATCATGCGCACCTTTTCCTGCTCAACATGGGAGAGGCGGGGATCGAACTCGGGCATGCGACATATTTTCAAACTTGTTACTGACGGTCAATCGGCACGATTTCCCTTGCAGCATCTACCAGCCTCTTCACAATAGCAAGTAACAGGGCCTCTCTCTGCCCTTCGAGAATCCCCATTGACAATCCGGGCCTTTGGTCACCACTGGTCACCCTTTCCTTCCATGAAGAGTTCGACAAGTCTACCACGACGGAGCCGGGCTGAGAACTTTTTACGTCTAAGATTTCCTTGTTTAATCCAGACGTCTGAGAAAGCTAGACCAACTCTACCCCTGGCAAGCCTTGCTACCACGACCCAGCAGCTCATCTCTTCAAATGCCTGAGCCACGGTCCTCATCAGGATTGTTGCCGGGCTTTGTCTCAAGTTCCCTCTATTCGTATTGTACAATCTCGTCTCCAGACCGCTCGCTGCCTTTGGACATTGGGCGGACTTGAATTCAGACAAAGCGCACGCCCCACCTTGCAGCCATATCCCTCTTCCGCTTCTCGAGAGTCGGGCCTCTTTGCTTCTGTCGACCTTTTGATACACGCCCACCCTACCGAGTTGCGTTTGTACCTGTTTCTGGCCGAGCGATCTCCATGCATGTAATCGCAACAAGACCTAGTCACGCTTTTGCTGCTCCGTACCACTCCATCCAAAGGGTGCATACATACATACATACATACATACATCACCCCTGCGACGGCCTGCCTGGATGTCGACTGCAGAGCGTGCTTGTATGTGTGTTCGATTTCCGGGATGAGTGAGGATGCCCAACGTCAAAGCAGGAACAAGTCAGTCGGTGTAAACAACTCGCAGGGCTCAGCAGCGTGAGTACACGGATCAAGTTGTGCCTGACCAAGGCTGGCCTGAACTTTTGCTTGGATGCAACTCTTTTCTTTGACCACGGCTTTGGAGTGAGGTGGAAGTAGTCGGCGCGATTGTGTCGTTACGAGTAGTACGGAGCACATCCGCGCTGTCTATCCATTCCTCTGCCTTCACGATAGCTTAGCTCCAATCCCGGCCCCCCTCCCACTTCCCACTGCAAGCCACATTGTGGCCTGCCCAGAAATAACCCTCTTTGTCCTCTGCCAACCTTCGTCACTGGCGGCCATGCGGACAAGGGCTCGGGGCCAGGGTGCGGATCCAGGCAGACGATGGAGTAAGCAAGGCGTTGTCGCACTCCCCAAACAAAAACTCTGTTGTTCTGGTCGAGCCCAGGAGGCTGATGGCGCTGGCTTGTCCGTTCGCCGTTGACCTGGATTGTGGCTTGTTCTAGGGGACCAGTTCAGAACAGGCCCAAGCCTCCGTTCGGGTCATGCCTGAATCATGGCACACGGGCCCGTGATATTCTATCTGCCACAGGCTCGCATCAAATCCAACCGTGCCTGGGTCGGTATTGCAGCGGCTGCTCAATCCGTACCGCCCAGCCGACGATGAAGTCGCATCTCAAGGTTCCTATGCTGGCACTGGCACCCTCCCCTGGACAAGTATGTATTTTCGTCATGGCAAAGGAGCAAGTCGATGTCTTGGGATGTCTGCCCACCCGTTAGCGTGGAACTCGGCCGTGGGCGCCCACCAATCTTGTTCGTGGATCGATGTATAAGACCCAAAGCAACTCCTCTTAACTTTCAGCCCTTCTGGCATGATGTGTGCCGTTATGTGGTGTCAGTCGCTGCCATGAATCCGAGACCTGTTTCCCTCGTTTCACCTTTCGATATCCAGCTCTGACTGAACTCAACGGGCGAAGGGCATCCCACCTTCTGGCAGTCCTCGGGCTCCAATCTACCAGGCATTTGGACACTGACTCGGTGTCTGCCTGGTAAGCCACCAAGACCCTGGTGTCGTTTCTCTAACACCCTAGCAAGACCGGGCATCTCCCAAGGGGCTAAGAACTGTTATGCTGAGGGACTGGTGATCGAGGTTCGCGGAATACCTGATCACGGGGTACGAACTTACGAGTCGTAAAGGCGGTTCTCACAGCCCGCGAAACCACCAGCCGCATACCGCCCGCCTCACCCTGCCCTACAGAGTCGAGCCCAAGTGGCCTGCTGAACAAACCTCTTCCGACTCCTGCCTCATTCCGCGATTTAAACGCTAAGGCATAATAAATTCCTATTACCGCCTGGGAGGCATGAATCTGAACGACTCGTGGCTCCGCTGAGCTTTGACAACGCTCACAGACCCCTCGTCAAATCAAGACACATGCAACGCGACTATGCCTTTAAATTTGTGCAAAGCTCAAAGACAGCAGCTACATCAGATCAACTTGACCGGCACCACTTGAGCCTTTGACTGAGTGTGCCGCAGATTTAACAGAAAGTCTTCTTACACTCGCTTTTTACTGCTGTTTTCCTTCCCGTCTTTTTTTTTTTTTTCCTTTTGGGCTTATTGGCTGTGTATCTTATCCACGAGCACCCACATTCGACATTCGTTCTAGTTGAGACACACACGAATACAGTGGGCTTTCTGTTTCCTGCTTCTTCAGTTCGCCATCTGGCCTTTGAAGCCGGAGCCAGCTCATTACTTGATAGACGAGACAACGAGTTTTGTGGCCCGACTGGTGGCCTCCTTTGACGTGTAAAGAGGTGGCACACCTTTCTCTGTCCTCCCCCCCCAACGACAACACAAGGTGTAACCTGAACGCTGAAATTCTTGGAAACCTTGGGGAGAGTGGCTCTGGCGTGGTATGGACCAGTCTCGTCGAGGCGGGAAGCAGAATGAGCAACCCGTTCCCCAGGCCTCACAGTCAAGATACTCGCTACCAGCACCAACAGCTCCTGCCTCGACCGCAGGCGGCAGCACAGCAGAGCGTTACCGACCGACGCCTCTGAATTTGTCAACGACGACACCAAGAAGCATGGGAGTAGGTGGTAATTATAGCAGCTACTATCAGGATCCTCCATCAGGGTACTCTGCCTCGACAATGTCTTCTACTCTCCTAGCATACGGCTCTGATTATGGGAACGATACGCGGACGCAGACATCGGCATTTGGTGGCTACAATGCGAGTATGATGATGTACAACGTGCCGGCAAGCACGGCAGCACAACAGGCAGTCTATGATACGCAGCAATTTACGCCGCGGCAACATGCAGCGATGCAGATGGTGCCGTCAGACGTGGCATCGAGCTACTTCGCCTCTGATACATCTGGCGGCGGCGCAACGTCTTTGCAAGCATCAGGACAGGGCTCCAGTGCCTCATATCAGCATCAAAACACGGGCATAGGCTACCCCAGCAGCATGGCCGAACTACAGCAGCCCGGAGGCGCAAACCCTGGAATGTCAGACGGTCGCGATGCGGACGATGCCATGGCTCTCAAGTGGAGCAGCTATCAGCGACAACTGGGAACCGTGTTCCGGGATGTGTCTGATGGGCAGCTTGAGAGGGCGTCAAGCACGCTGTTGGAGTTGTCCAAGTGGCTGCTGCCTCAGGTGCCTCAACTAGGTACGATGGAGAAAAAAAGGGTCTCGTCTCTTTTATCTTTCCTCCTTTCTCACCTTCTTTGCTTGTTCTCTTTTCGTTTCTTCCCTTTTCTTGTTCGGTCTGAGTGTCCATTAACAGTCGCCTAGGGTTACATCAAGACGATCCGTCGCTGCATGAAGAGAGACTGAAGCTTTGGAACGACTTCAATCATGGCTGGCTAGCGCTGGCGTTTCAGCAGAAACAGCTCATGACCTCTGGGCAGCAGATTTCCAGCTCGCAGAGGCTCATGACCAAGGAGCAGATTGAGGGCCTGGGGGACGAGCTCGTACGATTATGCGACGGACTTGAACGGCACGGGCTAGTGGACTACGAGTATGGGGTGTGGGAGGAACAAATCGAAGAAGGTATGTTTGAAATTGATGACATGGCCAGCAGTTTAGGAGAAGCTAATGCAGGGTTCTCTTACCAAACAAAAAAACAGCCTTAGAGGCGTGCCTTGACTTGTTCCCCAAGTGACGGAGGGTAGCTTGAAACGACCAGCCAGCAAACGCATAGACTCTTCCTTTTTTTTTAAGAGGGGGGTGGGCAAGGGGATTTCAACCTCATGGACACCTGTGAGAATGGCTTGGAGCCTGAAAAACCCTGACGGGCTGCAGTCGACACATGACCCATGTCGTTGATCTTTTGGACATTTGCATCTCGAGCGCAACTAGACCAATTCTCGGAGCATCTGCGATGATGACGATGACGACGAAGAAAATGAAGATGCCGATAGGACATGCGGCAAATTCCCAGGCCAATCGATGTCGGCAATGGCGACGGACAAGTTCTTGTTTTACTCGGTTGACATAGAGGTGCTTCTTTTTTTTTCATTTTTCTTTTCACCATGAGGTTTTTCATTTCATCAGGCGACAGCGGATACAGGAAACAGGAACTGTGTATGTCTGGGCCATTACCAGGGAGCATTGCAGCGCGTGATACCAAGGGCGCCAGGGGCCCATGATGGAGGAACAATGGCGGCGTTGGAGAGTAGGGGGTAAGGGGCTTTTGCATGACAGCGGGCCCCTTGCTCCCTTGTTTTCCCCTTCTTCACTGTTTGAGATGACTGGCATCGAGACGAGATGAAAAGTAGGGAATGACTGGATTTTGGTTCGGGTGTTGGTGTTGGGACTGTTTTTTATTTTTTTTATTTTTTTCCTTTTTTTTTGGGGGGGGGGCTTGTTGGATCTAAGTTGGGACGAGGTCGACGACGACATGAATGGCGGATAGACTGGGCGGCGCATACGGGCAAATTTGGCTTGGGGGCCAGAATGGCAAGATTTCGCATGCATAAATTCTGATGGCAGGGCGAGCGCCCGAGGCAGCTGGAGATGGGGGTTTAGAATTGCCAAATGCCAAACGGAACAAGGGGAATATATACACGTGTCTACGTTGATGGCCGGCGAGTGGTTGTTTGACTGTCATTTCGAGGCATCTGCGTCGTGCGAAGACGCCGTGGCTTGACTTGAGTGTGTACATTAATGCATGTAGATGTGAGCATGAGCATGAGCATGAGCCAGGGTGCGTGCGGGCGAGCACCAGCGATGGGCAAAAGGGAATAGATCCTCACTGGGCCCAGGACAGGACACGAGGCGAGGCAAGACTGACTGCCTGTGCCTGTGCATGTTCGTGGCTGACCTCCAGTTCCGAGTCCCTGAGCCGTTGGCTGGACTCGGTGACCGACGGCGGCGTTTGCGCATGTCAACACACGACTCACTCATTGGCCCGTCTTGTGCGTGTCTCGTGTCGGAGCAGACACTCAATGCCGCCGTGTGAAACGCAACGCAACGCAACGCAACGCAACGCATCCCGTGCCGTGTCCCTCACTGGTCCAGGGTCCGGCGGGTTGGTTTCAGCCGCGCTGCCAGCTGCTGCCGCCGCCCGTCTTGGACGATTTCCTCCTCGTCCACGCGTGCGTCGGGCGCGATTGGCAACCGCCCTCCGGCTTCCGACTTCCGGCCGCGGTGGATACCGGACCTCGGCGCCGGGGGGTGGCTCAATCGCCGTCGCCGTCGAGTCCCGCCCACCCGCTGGCCGGCCACCTACCCTATGGACAGTGGACAGTTGGACAGTGGACAGAGCCGGGCCCGCGCAGTTTTGCCGTGTTTGTGTGCGTCTGTTCGATGCAGCCTCGCATCGTGAGTGTGTGAGGGCCATGGCATCATGGCAGTGCTCTGCAGAGAAACGGACAAGGAGAACAGGGGTGCCGAATATATCCCAGTCAATGCTGATACTCATTATCATGATGCTATTCTTTTTATTCTTTCCATCCCATGCCAACACCACGACGCCACGCGGCGGAAAAGGTAATTTGTTTTTTTTTCTTTCACCAAAAGAAGGACCATCTTCCAGAGATGCCTCTTCCCGGGCCTCCCCCCATCTCAAGGACCAGCTGAACCTCGTCTCAGAACTTGTCTGCCAACATTGCCTCGATTAGCTCAGCGTCATCATGGCAACCGACGCGGAGCACACGCGCACATGTACGTGCAGACATGCAAAAGGGAAGACACTCACCCAGCGTCATGCTCATGCTCACGTCGGTATTCTCCACCATCTTGGTGAACTCGTCAAAGCTGATCTTGCCGTCATTGTCCAGGTCCGCCTCCATGATGGTCTTGTCCACAATCTGCTGCAGCTGCTGGTCCTTGAGGTTGCTGCCCACCATCATCTTGAGCACGATGAAGAGCTCGCCGTTGCTGATGTACCCGTCGCGGTCAATGTCGTACACCTTGAACGCGAACTGCAGCTTCTGCTCCTTGTTGCCCTTGCTGCTGAAGGCGCTGAGGCCCGACACGAACTCCTGGAAGTCGACGTCGCCGCCGCCGTCTTCGTCGAAGATGGCAATCATCCTGGCGGCCGAGAGCCTCGAGGCGTTAGTGCATCCGACGTGCAACGCTGGAACAGAGGGAATTTCTTTTCTTTTCTTTTCTTTTCTTTTCTTTTCTTTTCTTTTCCTTCCCTTCTCAGCACGTACCGTGTCGCCAGGGGGTTGGATGAGATCTGGGGAAGACTGAGGAACTCGTCGCGCTCGATCGTGCCGGAGTTGTCCTGCGACCGTGTGAGAATGGCCTCTGCCTTGCTCTCTTGGCTCCTTTGTTTCCGGGGCTAGGGGGGGCAAGAAGGGGAGGGGGTTTACTTTGTCGAGCTTCATGAAGCGCTTCCGTAACCGGTCGACTTCTTCTCTGTCGACTGCAGGGTGGGCAATTAGCAGCCGGGGCGGGAGGCGCATCGTCATTGGGGAGAGAGGGGGGCGGGTGCTCACAGTTGGAGCCTTGGACGATGTTGTCCAGGACTTGGCTGGTGGTGTTGCCCATGGTCGGTCGGGGGGGACTGCACAGACGGGCGCCTGTGACGACGGACGGGACGACGGAGGACGCCGTCGGTGTCTTGTCTTTCTTTCTTTCTTTCTTTTTTCGTTGCGACGAGGTTCCGGCGATGGGGGTCTCTGGAATTCGAGAGAGACGTCGACTTGCAAGTTGGGCGGGCGGGTAGTGATAAGGCTGAGTGAGGGCTGGGAGACCCGGAGCTTCGTGTTTGGCTGCCTACTCCGTACCTACGTAAGGTACCTACCTAGGTACTTATCAGGTACTCCGTACGGAGTACGTACCTGGCACACAACCTGGAGGGGTCACAAACTGGTCAAACTGGTCGTGGTCATGGATTGGACTCGGGAGCACGGGCCATTTCCGACGCCATGTGCGCGCGCCGGCCGCGCTGAGCTCCCGTTTGTCTGCGCCTAGCTGGGGGAACCTGGAAACCTCGGGTGCTTGAGGCACTCATGCTATGTAGGTATTTAAGTACTGTTTGTTAGTGGGCCCAGCTGCGTGCCGGACGGACTCGGCAGTACATCGGCCACCGCAGGAGTGGACTCGAGCCCAACACGTCACGTGCAAGGGCGAGCAGTGCTGCGGTGACCGGTCTACAGCCCAAGTACTGTACTTGCCATGCCTGACACAGGTGGCTCACGCCCACCTACAGGCGCCGGCTCGGTCCAACTTTAGAAGCTGCCAGAGCACAGTTCGCTGCACAGTTCGCTGCTGAGTGCAGCGTGCAGAGACAAACAGATGTCCCCAATCCTGCGAAATGAGGCGGTGGACGCCGCGCCATAAGTACCTTCCCCCCCAGCAGCAGTCGTCGGTGACTTTGGCCTGCCTGCCTGCCTGCCCGCCCCCCGGAGGTCTCTAGCGCGCTGCGCTGCCTGGCTCCCCCCCCGCGACTGGCAAGTACTAGCAGCCAAAGTCATCGCTCAACCGCCCTCTTTCCACGCCTGCAACCTGGTGAAAATTCTTCGCGCGCCAAAACCATCCCCAACGTCACCCCGTCGACCCTGACAACTTTGCCATCGAAAAAGTGCCACCACAGACCCTTTTTCATCCTTTTTCTTGGCAAAAGACTACTTTGCATGACTCTATTTATGACTTGATCGCTTTTTTTTGCGGATTTTCCGCTGGCTTGACGCCGACCTCGTCTCACCCGCCATCATGTCGTCACGCAAAGTCCGAGTCAAGAAGTTGAGTGTCAAAACTCCTCTTCCTGTGCTTCGAGAGGATCAGATCGATCCTTCTGAATATGAAGCACTCAGTTCTGACAACCAAATTTCAACCGGTGTCGAGCACGCCGAGGAAAAGGTGACCATAATTCCCTCCCAAACCTCGCACTCTGATATCACGTGGCGCGGCACGTGATATGGACATGGCGTATCGAACCAGTCCAAAACGGGTCGTCCACCCTGGCAGTCGAGGCACTTGGCTAACACATGCAACCCTCGCAATAGGAGTACCACTTGCAAAGTATTCTCAAAGATGCAGGAACTAGTAATACGCAAGAAATTCCTGTTCCGCCCCCCCAGGAGAGTGACATCAACTATGATGCGCTCTACCCCAGTAACTTTCACCAGCCGTCGTCGTATATCCGGTTTTCACAAACCGTGGAGGAGTGTATCGGTTGTCAGTATGACATGAGCGCCGAGGATACCGAGTTCCTCAAGTCATATAATGCCAAGTCTCCAGCAGGAGGCCCCTTGTCGGAAGATGACTATGAGCGAGTCATGGAAGTCTTTGAGGACACTGCGGCTGAGCAGACTCCGTTTGCGTCGGTCGACAACACCATTGTCGCCTATGACATGATGGTCCCCTCACTCAATCACCTTGGCAGCACCTCCATTCTCCAGCATGCCAAGGCGATCTATGAGTATTGGAGGAACGCTCGGCAGGAGAAGGGCAACAAGTCGTTGCACCCCACTCTCAAATTTGAGATTCATCAAGAGACAGACGACACTGACCCCTACGTCTGTTTCCGAAGAAGAGAAGCCAGACAGACCCGGAAGACAAGGGCTCGGGACAACAAGGTCGCCGAGACACTCAAGCGTCTTCGACGAGAGCTTGAGGATGGCCGGCAGCTTGTGCTATTATCATTTGAACGAGAAATGATGAAGCGCGAGTTGCTGCACATGGACCAGACCGTGTTTGAGGAGCGAGCCAAACTGAAGCAGATGAAGCTGAGGCTAGGTATCAAAGGCGAGGATGACGATCTTGTAAACCAAAAGGTAAGCAGCAAGCAAGCCATCCGAGCAACTCGCCCCGAACCAAAAGCAGCTTCCGTATACTGACTTGACTGCTCTGTAGCCCCAAAAACGCAAAGCCGCAGACCCTTCGAGTGTGCAGAGGCAACAGGCTACCCAGCTCCGGGCACCTGCCCGATCGGATGGCCGTTCTCTCGAACAGGACCTGGTGTTGCTGGCTGATTTGTTGGCACAGAAGGAGAACGAGCTCCGAGAAGAGATAGAGAACAAGGTCCAAAACCACCGTAGGTGGAACCAGAACCATATCGATCTCACTAGAGACCCGTTGTCGCCAGTAAAGGAGCAAGGCACGGAACTCAAGTTCCGACCGGCCAAGACTCAATATTTGATGACGCCACCAGCGTCCATTTCTTCAGAGGAAATGGATGTGGATGAGGTGCAAGCCGAGCCCATGCAGGCCGAGCCCATGGACATGGACAAGTTGCACCGGCTCCCCGTCTTCCAGTTCAAGGCGGGCACCATTTCACAAGACCAATCACAGACAAACCAGCCGTCGTTCCGGCGCCGAATCGGTCGTCTGCAACGGCTGTGGATTGATCGAAGGGGATTGGCAACATCGGCAAGGCTGGAGAGTAGCGACTATTCCGATCGGTGGAAATACGACTCTGACGACGAGGATATCGACCCCCCGGTGTACGAAGTCGATCCGTTTGATACCCGAGCCCTCAAGTTCCGAGCAACGATCCCACTGAGTCCGTACATGTTCCGTGGAGGACGGCCTCCAATTGCCCCAGAGACGGCACAAGGCACGGCAGCTGCGGCAGCGGCCCAAGCCGCAAGTAACAGAGCATTACCACAACCTCCTCCAGCAGCAGCACAAGCACAGGCAACGTCATAGAAGCTGACACGGCGTGCGCGGCCTGCCAGGCAGTGAAGGGACGTGTGTTTTTTTGTATGATTTTGATGTTGAGACTCCTCATAGAGCGGTGGTGTCTTTTCTGTTTGATTTCTTTTTAGTCTCTTGTCATCGCTAGTGATGGGGAGAGGAGAGCATTCCAGGGTCGCTTTGGCGGAGAAGAGGCTTTGCTTTGCAGCGGCCCAAGTCAGCCTGGAACTGTATAGTACTTATATATTCGGCAAGCGGAAGGTGGTTGGCGGGACGGATGGACATTTTGCGCGGAGTTGGGAGTTGACAAGTTGATAAGTTTGTGGCCATCCTTTATAGACGCAGAACCGGGGAGCCTCCAGAGGGCACGCACAAAAAAAAAAAAAAAAAGTAAAAAAAAAAAGTAAAACCAGGCTCGTTTAGCCGTCGAATATTGGGTTCCGCGCTTGCTCTTGTGATGGGGGCGTCCATCGAAGTGACACACATCAGAAGCTCCAAACAAAGCTGAGCATTGTCCGTAGTCAGGCGACGACGGAATGCATGCTCGCAAGGGCCGCGGTCAGGCGCCGCAGTGTCCAGGTTGCCAATCGCGACGTCGAGAGAGAAGGCAACACGAGCTGTGGTGTTGTTGCATCTCATCGAAATGCAATGCCACGGCCCACGACCCGAGGACACCCCAAGTCGTCGTCGTGGGAAGATGCTGCAGTCAGTCTGCGGACGGGGTCCCCGAGCTTACTGACATGAAAAAAGGTGGTCGGTGGTTGACTAGTCGGTCACGCGGTCGGCAGCATGAGGTAAGCGAGTTCCAAGACGACAGCCGGGGCCCTTTTTTTTTTGAGGGGGGGTTCCGCGGCGAGCTCCGCGACCACGTCTCAGAAGGCAGCTCCTGTGCGAAACTGGCTTGGGGGTCGCCATGTTTGCAAACTTGACCGAGCGAGGACACGGAGGAACGAGAGAGACGGGGACGGGGAGAAGGAGAGAGTTGTTTGACAGTTGTTGGCCTGGCATTGATTTTCTGGAGAGCTCAACTCTTGTGGCTGCGGGGCGGGAAGACTGAGAGAGAGACGGACGGATTGCGGGTGGCGGGTGACGGGTGACGGGTGACGGGGATAAAAAGCTGTGTGTGGTTGGAGCGCGGGCGGGGAGGAGGGGACTTTGTACTCCGTACTCGGACGTGGGGCGGGGACCTGCGCAGCACTGCGAATCATGGACGGAGGACGGAGTAACTGTGTACTCGGTAGGCGCGACTTTATCTTGGTGTGTTGCCCTTGCCCATTTCCTGCTCCTTCCCTGGTGTATTTCTGTGGACGAATGCGTGCGACGCGGAGGGCGCCGGCGGGGTGAGTGAGAGGTTTTGCCTCTCTTCGCTCGTCATCCCGGGTCACCAGGGGTCGAGGGGTGTTCCAGTTGAGCGATTGATGGGGTTCACTGCGCGCAGAAATAAAACAGACGTTCGGAGTACTCCGTACGACGTACCCCATGCACAAGAGACCAGAGACCAGCCGTGCTCGCTTCGTTGCGTCGTCGTGCCAAGCAAGGCCTTGGCCCCACCTCTGTCCGCCCCTCCCACCAGTGACCGCGACGCCCCTCCATCAACACAACATCATTCACCCCCTCCCCCTCCCCCCATGGCGCCCCAGAAAACATCCCTCATAGCCCTCGGGTGCGAAGGGTCCGCCAACAAGCTCGGCATCGGCGTCATGCGGCACACGCCGACGCGCACCGTGATCCTCGCCAACCTCCGACGCACGTTCGTGCCGCCCCCGGGGGCGGGCTTCCTGCCAAAGGACACGGCGGCGCACCACCGCGCGCACTTTGCCTCGCTGGCGCGGGCGGCGCTCGCGGCGGCGGGCGTCGCCCCCTCCGACGTCGACTGCGTGTGCTTCACGCGGGGGCCCGGCATGGGCGCGCCGCTGACGGCCGTCGCCGTGGGCGCGCGCGCGCTCTCGCTGCTCTGGGGCGTGCCGCTCGTCGGCGTCAACCACTGCGTCGGCCACATCGAGATGGGCCGCCACGTCACGGGCGCCGAGGACCCCGTCGTGCTGTACGTGTCGGGCGGCAACTCGCAGGTCATCGCCTACGCCGAGCGCCGGTACCGCATCTTCGGCGAGACGCTCGACATCGCCGTCGGCAACTGCCTCGACCGCTTCGCCCGCACCCTCGGCATCAGCAACGACCCCGCCCCCGGATACAACATTGAGCAGATGGCCAGGCGGGGCCGCAGGCTGCTCGACCTGCCCTACACCGTCAAGGGCATGGACTGCTGCTTCTCGGGCGTCCTGGCCGCCGTCGACGCCCTCGCCGCCGAGCTCAGGGCCCGCGGCCCCGACGGCGCCGGCTTCACCCCCGAGGACCTGTGCTTCAGCCTGCAGGAGACCGTCTTCGCCATGCTCGTCGAGATCACCGAGCGCGCAATGGCCCACGTCGACGCCAGCCAGGTCCTCATTGTCGGCGGCGTCGGCTGCAACGAGAGGCTGCAGGAGATGATGGGCCTCATGGCCCGCCAGAGGGGCGGCAGCGTCTTCGCCACCGACGAGCGCTTCTGCATCGACAACGGCATCATGATTGCCCAGGCCGGCTTGTTGGCCTACAAGACGGGCTATACGACCCCCGTGCCGGAGAGCGTCTGCACACAGAGGTTCAGGACCGACGAGGTCTACGTGGAGTGGAGGGACTGATAGTGTACCACGTCTTTAACGAATAAACAACCGAGCCCTGTGCAAGACATTCCATTCCAGCCTTTTGTCGGTGCCAAGTCACCACATACACGTGTATGCAACGGCTCACTACCAGCCACGTCCTCAGCGTGACGTTGACGCCAAGACAAATCGCCAATCTCCCCTGTCCACCTTGGATCTATCAGCTAGTTGTGATGATATTTACCTGTGCACATCCCTCGTACACGACACAGGTCTCAGAGTGTCCTGTTTCGCCATGTAAAGTGGGATACTCTCCATATCAGCAATATAAACAAGAAATATCTACACCACCAATTTCGCAACACAACCCAGCCCATCACAGGCAACGCTGTCAACCTTCATCCGTGGAGGTGGGCTTGTACATTATCGTTGTGACATACTAACGACACGTTGGCTTTCAGAAACAGCACAATTGGCAGATTTGAACACGTACCTTGTTGTGATATCGTGTAGTCGCCGATACAGCAAGAACGTTGTCTTTAATGCTGCTCGTCGCCAGGTGGTTGAGGACCGTGTGGTTGGGCATGTTCAACACAGAATTGTCGTCCTTCATCAGCGTAGCGGCGTTGAGGATGGGCTTGCCCAAGAATCCCGGCAAGCTGGGGGGCGTGGGCAACTTCTCAATAGCACCAATGGCGTTCCTATAGGCAGAAGATTCTTCGGGTTGATCAAAGTCTATGAGATATTGAGGGATCTGGCTGGCGTATGATTCTGGTGGCAAGGCTGGCTTGCTTTTTGATTTGGTGGGCTCTTTGGATTCCGATTCAACCGAGGGCCTAGAATCATCTGGTTCGACGGGGGCCTTGGATACGGCAGACCCTTGCTGCGGCTTGACGAGGGCGTCGTCAGGGTTGACTTCTATATAATTGACCAGGTTGTTTCCAAAATCGACGGTTGTTGGCAAGTCTGGTGATGTCTGCATGATTCCATCCGCCAGAAAACGCAAATGATGCGTGCCCGGAAGAATATACACCGTCGTGGCAAAGTGGCCGGGCTTCCCTTCACTATCAAGTGACTACATGTCAGCAGGTTCGCTCTTCATACTCCACGGCGCAATCTGGAATACCCACACAGGATGCAGACGCTGTTTTCGGTTCCACTGGAAAATGGTACCCGTCACGTAGATCTTGTCACCGCCTCGCTTCCATTCAATCTTGGTGGGCACAACAGGCCTCGTCTTGTCCACTCTCAGCTCTTCGGATTCTTCATCGTCGACTGTGGTAGCACTGACGGCAGAACTCTTCCGCGTCAAACCGTCGGACGATTCGCCCAGCTCAACATCTGGAAGTCCCTCTTCCGGGGCTAGAATAGGCGAACCGGGCGTGTGAACCTCCTCTTCGATCGGTAGAGGCAGCCGAGGCGGGCCTCTGAGATACATGTCTGTGAGACTGTTGTTGGACACGAGGTATGGATCAATGCCGCTCTGTTGTGCGGTGGAAATGTGGGATTCTTTGTGCGAACGCAACGAGCCTGATTCGCTGGGAACATCGACAGGTTTCGTTGGTACGTCTCGGCCTGCTCGAGCCTCTGTCGATTTTGAAGGAGTTGACAAACTGCTAAGAGGGGAGCCGCTCAGAGAAGAAACAGCTGTGCCGGGCAAGCTCTTCGGTCGGTTGATGATGGTCGACCCTTTGGCCTGAGCAAGAGACGGCTCCGGGGGCGCGGCGGAGCTGTGGGCTGCGTGAGAGGAAGTATGGTTTCGGGCCTCCTTGCGATGAGGCAGCAGGTGATGGTGATGATGGCCATGACCTTCGGCGGGTGTCGAGGTCGTGCCCGTCGAGCTCGCCGAATCATTCGGCGGGGCATCAGGGACGCCAGGGGAGCCCGACGAGCCCGACTTGGTGGCGGCGGAATGATTGTTGCCCATGGCCGCGTGTCTGTCGTCGATTTTCCCTTTGGGACCGGGGGGGGCCCGATCAGCGGGCCAGAAACCGAAATAAGCAGGCAATAAGATGAGGTGCGAGACGTCTCGTGACAACTCAGGTTCCCAGGTATTGGGCCGTTGGGGAGGGCGGTGCTCTGGTGAGATGCCAGCAAGCTGCGCTGCGATGATGGCGGATGGGCTAACCGCAACCTGCAGGTTGACCAGTGTCGACTATTTGGGCCTGTCACTGCCTGCAAAGACAGGGACCCGATGCAAGGCGTGCCAATTCGACGTCGGTCGATGCTTTTTTGGTCGAATGCTGTGATACTCGGGCGGCGAGGCGCGGCAAGATTCAATAGAAGAAGCAAGCTCGGGAACTTTGGCCTGGAACCGGCCGGCTGGCTTTGGGAATGGGAAGCTACTGCGGTGGGCGGTGGCGGGGAAGCGTGGGAAGGTGGGCTGCCTCGCTCTTGCCTGTGAGATACCTACCTACCTATGTAGGCGTAGGAAGGAAGGCACGACCTTCCTCCCAGCTTCTCAATCGGTTGGTGCCTGACGGTTTCCTTTTCGTGCGCAAATCTGATGTTGAAGCCAGAGAAAGCAAAGAGACTTCAAAGTCAACCGGCAAGCTTCTTCTGCGAATGCTCGAGATGGCCGCTCTGCGACAATGGCTCCAAGTGAACGGAAGGTAAGGTAACTAACTAGCTGCGGATGGATGGAGTCCAACCACTCTACCCCATGCACTCCGCATACAACCTCGGCACAACAAGTGTCCAACACATTGCAGACGATACTGCCTCATATTTGCTTCATTTCATTTACGCCGTATATCACGACGGCATCTCCGACTCAAGCAAGTTGACGAACGAAATCAACTAAACCCGCCCGCCCCTCAGCTACGCGCCATGTTGCCGTGTGCTCAACGCCGATGCTAACATTCGCAGCACTCAGTCCGACAGACACCAGGAGTTGGTTGGACCGGAGACAACGTCAACCATGGGAATCTCACATTACGAGCTTATCAGTTCGTCGTGTACCGTACCCCAACGACCGCTATCTCAGATGAACGACGAGCGATGACGTGCAAGCCACGCTCAGTCACACAATCGCGCCATGCACCGCAGCATTGCCCGATTGGGAAATCAAAGCCAAAACGCCCCTGCAACAAAGTTAGAGCCTCTTGCGGAGTATCGATGCAGGCCAATTGCGCAATGGGATAACTATATGACAAATCCGCCCAGTACAGCTGGCAAGCTCGGATACATCCTGGACGACAGGAGGCCTGGCTTCTGCTTCTGCTCCGGGCAAGATGGCAGCATCGACGACGCTGACATGACAAGCATACTGTATATACCATGTGCGCCGCTGGCCCAAGCGCCCTCTGCAGAGGACGTCCGATCCTCTTGCCCTTCGAAATTCAGTCGTATCCGCTGGAATGGCAGACGATGACGAGCAGCGGCCGCTCCTGGCTGACACGGCCAGGATATCCTCTGCCCAAACAGGAACGGATTACGCCTCCTTTACAGCCGACGACGCCTTCACGGCCAAAGATCACCCTTCACGTTTCATTGACGACGACGTCCTCCCTGAAACGTCTGCTCTGGGCCGGAATCTCTCCTGGACGAGCTCCTACATGCTCGTTGTTTCTCGCGTCATAGGCAGCGGTATCTTCGCCACGCCCGGCACCATCCTCCAGTCTGTCGGTAGCCCAGGCCTGTCCCTCCTCCTCTGGGCTGTCGGCGCTGTCTTGGCAGCTGCAGGGCTAGCCATAGCTCTCGAATACGGCTGCATGCTACCTCGGTCCGGCGGCCAAAAAGTCTACCTGGAATTCACGTATCGCCACCCCCGATTCCTGGCGTCGACTCTCGTCGCCATCAACGCCGTGCTGCTGGGCTTCACGGCAAGCAACTGCGTCGTATTCAGCCAGTACATCCTCTTTGCGACGGGGCAAGACGGCACCGACGAAGTGCTGAGAAAAACACTGGCCGCGGGTCTGCTGAGCGTCATCACCGTTGTGCACGCCGTCGTCCCCAAGTTCGGCATCAGGTTGCAGGACTCCTTGGGGTGGATCAAGATCGGCATCGTCATGTTCATGGTTCTCTGCGGAAGCTACGTGGTGGTTTTCCGGCCGGCCACGGACTCGGCGGTTGACGTGGACGTCTTGCTGTCGTGGGAGAAGCTGTGGGAGGGCAGTAACTGGAACTGGGGCATCGTGTGTACCGCCTTGCTCAAGGTGTTCTACTCGTACGCCGGGTTGGACGACGTGAGCAATGTGCTCAACGAGGTCAAGGATCCCGTGCGGACTCTGCGGTCGGTCACGCTGACGGCGCTTTTTACCTCGTGCGGCCTGTACCTTTTGATCAATGTCGCCTACTTCCTCGTCGTGCCGCTGGACGAGATCAAGGGGAGCGGGGAGCTCATTGCCGCCTTGTTCTTTGAGCGGGTTTTTGGAGCGCAAGTCGGTAGAAAGGTGCTGCCTCTGACAGTTGCGTTGTCAGCAGTCGGAAACGTCATGGTCGTGGCGTTTGCCATGGTGAGAATGGGATCGACCACTCGGTTGCATAAGACGGTCTGCTGACTGTTTTACAAAAGGCGCGGCTTAAACAAGAGATTGCGAGACAAGGGTTCCTTCCCTTCTCTGAAGTTCTGTCGTCCACCAAGCCGTTCGACTCGCCTCTCGGCGGCCTGTTAGTCAACTACATCCCCTCTCTGCTCGTCATTGTCTTGCCACCCTCGAGTGAAGTATACTCTTTCATCCTCGAGGTCGAAGGGTACACTGGCCAGATTTTCGGTCTGGCCGTTGGCCTGGGTCTACTGTGGCTACGACACAAGCGACCACACCTGGACCGGCCTTTCAGGGCATGGATGTCGGCAGTGGTCTTGAGGCTGCTGCTGGGTCTTGGTCTGCTCGCCGCACCGTTCTTCCCGCCGGCGGAGAAGTACAAGGGCGGCTGGTTCTATGCCACATATGCGATTGTGGGAGCCAGCACGTAGGTTCACCAATTTTTCCTTTGTCTCTCTTCCCACGTCGTGTCTTTAAATGCAGAAGCTAATGACGAAACTAGCATCGTGGGAAGTGTCGTGTACTGGTATGCTTGGACGGTTGCAGTTCCCAGGTGGATGGGATATAAACTGGAAGAGGAAACTACGATACTAGCAGATGGGACATCTGTCACGAAAGTAGTTAAATGTAAATAAGGAGCATCAGTGACCGGCGCTGCTAGAAACGACCGTAGAAGCTGCATTTCTATAAACGAGTTCGAATATAACCTGAAGCCGGAACCCTATTTCGCCAGCGGTTCACAGAACCACACACGTACATGTCACTCGGTTGGAAATTGGAATACAAGCAAACGGCCCAATCTCCACCCGATTCTCATCGGCGCTAGAATGATTGGCCGCGGGTGACGCGATCTCCGAGCACGTCGTCGAGGTGTCCTCCTTACTCCGCACGGATTTGAAATCAAACCATCTGCCCAGGCCCAACAAGCACGACCGGTCTTTGCAGGCGACGCCCCGGGGAACGGAACGCCTCCAGGTCTCGGACTTGGGTCGGCCATGATTATGAATCCGGCGTGGACGGCACCATGGCGCAAGGTTGCGTGCTGCACAACGCCCCCCCCCCCCCCCCCAACCCCTCCCTAGCCAAGCAGGATTTCGCACATGAAGCAATCGACCTGACCAGTCTTGACTGCCATCTCCATCTCCATCCCATCTCAGCCAAGCACCGCCAGGGAGTCCTCGTAGATACCGTCGAAAGATATAAACATCCGCCATCATGGCCGCGGCAGCCGTACAGACCCCCCTCGTCGCGGGCACGCACCCGGGCCAAGAAGAAGCCGTCCAGGACGCAGAGCCGGCCGGGCCGGGGCCGTCTGGGCAACAGCGCCATGTGACAGCCACCCTCAGGTACTTCAAAGACAACGAGGACGGGTCGCCGCCGCACGCGACGTACGTCGGACGGCCCGAGACGTACGAGCGGCCCTTTGAGGCTCACCGGGTGGGCATCGCGGACATTGCGGGCCGAGAGCCCGACTTCACGCTCGACAGGCACGGGTTCCAGGTGCACGGGCACGTGGCCACGGAGAAGGCGTTTGTGGACGACGACCAAATCAGGAGCGGCTACTACGCCGAGACGGAGCAGCTGCTCAGAGACGTGTGAGTCGGCGCGCGCGCGGCGGACCCGGGGCAGACGCATGGGCTGACGGCGGCGGCGGCGGGCGGAGCAGCACGGGCGCGAGCAAAGTGCACATCTTTGACCACACGATCCGGCGGCAGGCGCCCGGGGCAGCGGCCGGCGCGGGCCCGGACAAGGCGCTCCGCGGCCCGGTGCAGCGCGTGCACATCGACCAGTCGTACGCGGCGGCGGTGTCACGGGTGCCTCACCACCTCCCCGACCAGGCGGAGCGCCTGCTCGAGGGCCGCGTGCAAATCATCAACGTCTGGCGGCCCATCAGCACGGTCGAGCGGGACCCGCTGGCCGTGGCGGACGCCGGCTCCGTGCCGGACTCGGACCTCGTCGTCACCGAGCTGGTCTACCCCGACAGGAGGGGCGAGACGTACGCCGTCAGGCACAACGCTGGCCACCGCTGGTTCTACAGGTCCGGGCTGCGGCCGCACCAGGTGCTGCTGATCAAGTGCTTCGACAGCAAGACGGATGGGAGGGCGAGGAGGGTCCCGCACACGGCGTTCGAGGACGCCGGCGCCAGGAAGGACGCGCCGCCGAGGGAGAGCATCGAGGTCCGCGCCTTGGTGTTTCACGAGCACGATACCGACTGACGTGGCGTGGCGTCGGTTGCGGGGTGGTCGTGATCTTGTCAAGGGCGCCCTGTTTGCTGGGCGGGCTTTGCTTGCGTCATGCGTCGAGTTGTCGCTTCTGGTCGTCTTGTCGGTCCAAGCAAGGGACCGACCGGTCGCATGTACGCTGCCTTCTTTTTGTTGGGTCATGGCAATATAGACCGCCGGTTCCGAGCCGGTTCTGTGGTGTCCGTCCCCAGTATATCCATCATCTCGTTGGGCCCTAATGTGTTCGGTTCGTCCCCTGGTGATGCGAGGTGTCCGACGCCGATGCGCATGTAGCTGTTCGTGAACGACACGCCAACTACACGTACGAACGACTCCTTTCAGGGCGGGAGAAAAAGGCCAACCACGTAACTTGCAATGTACCATGCTCCTCTTTCATAATGTGCACCCTCCCAACAGCCACGGCCCCTAGTCACTCCCGTCGCCCTCGCCCGGGCCGTCGTCCCCATGGGCCTCCTCATCGTCGCTGACAAGCCTCTCGAAAAACGGGTTCTCACCCTCATCCTCGGGCCTCTGCGTCACGCGCGGCACGGGCACAGCGCTCGCCGCCTGCACATCCACCATCCAGTCGTTCCTGAAAAAATCAACCACCAGCTCGAACCCTTGCTCGAATTCGTGCCACTGGATCGGCGGCACAAGCAGCTTCGGCACGGGAATCTCCCTGTCCAGCGTGATAAAGGCCTCGGGCATGGGCGCGTCACTCCAGCAGGCCGCAAAGTTGAGCGGCGCGAGGGCCTCCTTGTTGATGTCCTGCAGAATGTGAATCATGCTTCCCGCAATCTGGATATTCTCTTCATTGAGAACCACTTCGTTGTCGAGCATCATGACGGGCGCGCAGAGGAGCCTCCCCCGTGTGTAGTTGCCGCATTTTTCGTACATGTCCATGACGTCCCTGCTCTTCCAGGGGTCGAACAAAGGGGACGCGTGCACGGGGCAGCATGGGTTTTCGACCTTGACATGGGAGAGATCGTGCTCCCCGCCGAGTCCGCCGACCGAAGCTCCGTCGGGTGCTCGCTTGAACAGCCCGTCGAGGAGCGCCTTTTCCAGGCGGCGCAAGGGGCTCGTCTCGCCGGCGCCCCGTCGCGCGGAAAGATATTTCCACACATCGCCCGGCGAGCCGAACCGCTGTTGGATGATGGTGGAGGAGGCGAGAGATCGGAAGGGCTTGTTGCCGATTTTGCAGTTGAAGTAGTCCAGGACCGATATGGCCGCGTAGTCTTTGAGGTTCATGTTTTCGCTTTTCGAAAACCAGTAGTTGTACCCGTTTGTCACGAATCCAAGTCCACGGAACTCCTTTAGGAGGTAGACTGATTCGGGGGCAGCCTTGTCCAGAGACCAGTGGAGAGAATTCGCCCGCTCAAAGCACTCGTGCGCACGCGAGGCAAGCTGTCTATCCAGGAGGCCCTGTCCGGTCATGTAGCACGCCGTGCTGAAGGGCTGGGAGATTCTGGCGTCTCGCTTCAGGTTCTCATCCACGAAGATGAGCTCCGTCCGAAGAAAGACCTTGTCTCCCTGGAGGAAAGGCCGCCCCTCGTGTTCGTACCTTTGGTCGAATATGACGCACGCCATTTCTTCAACACTGTCCATCTCCACGTCCTGGACGCGGAGAAGCGGCGTGTTGTGCCCGGCGGAGAGGTACACGAGCAGCGTGTATTTCGACACGTGTCTTCTCGCCCTGTCGTAGTACGGCGTGTCCAGATGGTTCTCGAAACGCCCGTCCCTCGGAGCAAACTTGTTGCTTCGGAAGACGTAGTTGACAAACTCGAACGAGTCGCCCAGCGTCCCGTCTCCAATCACGCCCAGAAGCCCACTTGTCTTGACAGCGCGTGTGAGTGCCTCGCTCAAAATGGCAGAGTGAAATATGAAGCGCTCGCCCCCGCGCGTGCCTCTATTCAGAGGGGCCACATACAGCGACAGAGCAGCGATTTCCTTCAACAAGGGCCCCTTGTCTCCTTCCAAGGAGGCGGTGAACACGTCCCTATCCCGTCGCAGCCGCACAACGCTCGTCAGCCCCAAGCCCATCCCCTCCACGGCCTCATCCTGCCGCCTGCCCATTCTCTCCTCAAGCCACCTGTCCAGCGGGACGACGTTCTCGAAATTGTGGTACGACAACTCGGCCGGGTCCACAAAAACAGCAAACAATCTCGGCGTCTTCATGACCTGCGCAAAATGGTTCACGCTCCTGTGCCGCACCTTTCTGTCCAGGTCCTCGATGTACTTGAGCATGCTGCGGCCCCTGGATGGATAAAACGACACGCCCATGCCCCCCACGAAGGCCGGGTCCTCATCCCCGTCCAGGATATCGACCAGCGTCCCGAGAATCTCCTTGTCCGTATCGCGCGCAGATCCGCTCCGACATGCTGCCAGGAAGAGGTTCCGCGCGCCAAGGGCCAGGATGAGCTTCTGCTCGGCGTTCAACGACGCGTACTTTGACTCAGCGTGCGGCGCACCGGCAATGACCTCGTGGAAGAAGGCGACGGACTGCCAATGTGAATCGGGGTCCAGAGAGGAGGAGGCGCCAAGCGCTTCTGTCCGCGGCGCCGTGGAGGGCTGGTGGTCCTGTTCGTGCTTGCGTTTCCGGGCGCCTTGGGGACCGGGAGAGCGGGTTCTGCTGGCCATTTCGCGCCGAGATCATACCGCCATGTACGCTGACTGCAGTTGCGCCCACTGTCGAAGCGAATCCCCTCGGCCGCCGGCGTGGACGACGAGTCGGGAGCGAAGGGCGGAGGGCGAAGGGCGGAGGGCGAAGAGCAGCGCGGCCGTGTGGTGTGGCGGCGTCGTCCCCAGATTCGCCGAGACGTGAAACGCAAGCCATGCCGGGTCCCTCGGGCCCCTCAGGTCCCGCGGAGCCGCAAGCAACTGCCAACAGCCACCACCCCCACAGCCGGCCGCGCCTTCCCTCTGCAAATCGCCGCCCCACCCCTGGTCAACCACCGACGACATCCAGGGAAGCAGCCAGCCATCCATGATTCATCCAACGATGCTCAGATCCCTCCGTTCCGTCGCTCACTCACTCATTCACAGCGAAAACCCTCGACGTCCCCCCAATGCGCGCCTCTTAAAACCGCCCTCCCGTGTCCGAGACACGCAAGCTTCAAAGGAACACCACCTGCGATTGCGGCCATGGACGAGCCCTCGTCCGCCGTCCACGCCATCATCCACATCCTCAAGTCCACCTGGTCGCTCGACTGGACGCGCCCCCTCTCCTACATGACGGCAGGCCTCACGCTCCCCCTGCGCCTAGCCTTCATCCCGCTCTCCTACGTCCTCGCCGTCCTCGCCGTCCTCCTCGCCCCGGCGGGCCACATCCTCGCCTACCTGGGGAGCTGGGTGGCCGCCATGGCCGCCCTCCTCGTCAGCCTAGAGGTACGCAACGCATGCCGTCGCCCGTGCCGTCCACTCACCACACAGCGCAACAGTCCAGTTCGGCAAATGCTAAGGAGAACCCCCCCAACAGCCCCTATACACCTTTGTACGTCTCCAGCAGACGCCGAAACTCCACCCCCGCCTCCCTGACCAGACGAGCAGTTCAGCGTAGCAGCGTTCATCGGCATCGTCGCCGGGCTCCTCATGGCCGTCGTATCCGCCATACTAACCAGCCACTTCAACATGCAAGACGAGCACGACGACGCGTCGCGGCGGCTGCAGCAGCAGCAGCGACAGCAACAGATGCAGCGCGAGGCCCTCTCCCACGAGAAGCAAATGTACCTGCAGCAGCAGTATCTCCGCCGGGAGCCACACGGCCTTGAGCCCGACTGGCACTGGGGGGACCCGTCGCAGCCGCAGTCGAGGATCCGGCGCGCCTCCGGGCTGCAGGCAGAGATCATTCTCGAGGAAGACGACTCCGACGAGTGAGACCGCCGGGAAGGGGAAGGGAATGGAGGAACAAGACGCCCCCGCCGCACTCCTCGTTCGTCCTTCAGCTCGTCTTGAGCACTTGTATTTCTTACGCTAGATACCCCCATGTAGCTTTTCCTCCCGAGCCTCCGTTGCAGAATACAAACTCGTCGGCCTTGCGTCATGTCACGTAGCCGTCTCTCGCGACGTCGTCGACAGACGTCTGTGTTTCATCCACCCCGTCTGACAGCCTCGTGACGCACTCGCACGCGCAGGTCAAATTCATACGTCGTGTCTTCGCTATGCACTATCCCGCCTCGATACAACTGCACGGTAATCCTATCCAGCTAGGTAGCCATCCCCCATTCCCCATGTTTGTTTCATGTAACCCTCATCCCCCATCCTCCTCATCCCCGTTCCAACGCCGGTTAATCTGCATACTTGTGCGACGCTCTCCTTTGCTTGCCGCATCGCTAATCAAGAGCACATCAGAACACCAACAGAAGCAGACTTTAAAGAAGGGAAAAAAAAAAAACTAACCCTACCGCCTGTACATGTCCCGGTCCCGGTCCATCCGTCTCTCGTGAGCCGGCGACCGACTTCGACTCCTGGTCCTTCGGTCCCATCGCTCATCCTTTCCAGTATATCGCCTTCGGTCATCTCGCGGACGCTCATCCCTCCGCCTGCCAGCCTCGTCGGCCCTGTACGCCGGTATATAAGTATCAACATCTGCCCCTGCGCCTCCGCCGCCTGGACCTCTCCCCAGAGGCCGATTTCTCCTGTAGTCCGGGTCGTCTCTGGTGCCCGGCCTGTCTTGCGGCGGAGGCCGGCCTTGAGGACCCCTGTCTCGCTGCCATGCGGGCCGGCGTTCATCTCGATATCGCCCTCCGTTGACGCCGCTTCGGCCATATCCATCACCGCTGTTGAAGCCTGCCGTGGCGTTGTTTGCGTCGGCGCCAATGCCCACTGTGCCACCCTTCGGAGCCGGCGGTAGATTGGCTTTCCGGTCGTGAAACTTTCTTCTGTCAAGCTCGTGGCTCTCTTCGTACGTTGGGATGTCTTCGGGAGCCATCGGCAACGGTGCCATTTTGAAGTATGCGTGTTCCAGAGCATCAACTGCGTTGATTCGTGTTCTCCAGTCTAGTTTAAGGAGTTCTTTGAGCAAGGAAATGGCGCCAGGCCCATGCCTATTGTTGACGTGAAATTAGCTACGGGATCATTTGGGGTTGCCGAGGTCATCACGTACTCCCTGAACCGACTCTGCAGGTTTCCGGGACGAGGTCGAGGTGTCAACTTTTCCCCTCCGGAAAGTTGTTTCCACCCAGGCATCACGTCGTCGTTTGGTGAGCCCATCAGGTCCCATATCAGCTCGAGCTGGTGCGGGTCACTTTCGCCCGCGAGGATGGGCTTCCCGACCAACATTTCCCCGAACACGCAGCTATGCACGTCAGCCTATGCGTGAGTCATCCGAGGCAAGAACCAAGACGTACCCGACACCCCACACGTCAATAGCGGTGGTGTACTGTCTGAGCTGGAGCAGCAATTCGGGCGGCCTATACCACCTAGTCACAACTAACCCCGTGTAATCACGACGTCCGTCGCCCATTGGTCGTCCGGCCTGCGGCGTAGGGCCATCGTAGTGTCTGGCGAGGCCGAAATCGGCAATCTGCAAAATACCACGGTTATTTATCAGCAGATTGGCGGCCTTCATGTCTCGGTGGAGGATGTGGTTATCGTGGAGGTAGCAGAGGCCCTCTAGTAGCTGCTTCAAGTAGCACTTGATCTGGGCTTCTTTGAAAAGAACCGAGGGATTGTCCAGCAACCCAGACAGATCGTGGTCCATGTAGGGAGTGACCATGTACATGATTGGCTTTTTTCGCTTGTCGGCTGTTTATTTATTTTTTTGCCAGAGGTTAGTTTGCCCGGGTCGCCAGCACTGGGCTATGTGGTAGCGTACTTGAGCGAGACGGATGCTCGACAGCCATGTCCTCCAATCTCAGTATATTCTTGTGGGAAAGCAACTTGAGGAGCTTGATCTCACGGAGCGCGGTGATGGGGAACTGACGAGATGAGTGGTCAGCACTTTCCTTTCCGACATGCAACGATGGTGTCGAACAGCGTATCGGGTCTGGTGTGCATACTCCGTCCTTTTCGTGGTGCATGATGATCTTCTTGAGGGCGACGAGGGCACCCGTCGTTTTTGATCGAGCCCGGTGGACCTCACTGGCAGGGAGGCAGGAGTGTCAGCTTCACAACCGCATCTGGGGCTGTCTCGCACGGCGCGCAGTTGACATCGTGGTGCGTACCCGAACGTTCCCTCGCCCAGTTTCCCTTGCAACTCGTAATCCAAGACGCGCGAACAGCCCTGGAATCTGTGCTTGGGTCGGAGATGGTTGAGGGCAAATGTGCGCGGCGAAGTGCCGTTTGGCGTGTTCTCCGGAGGCCGGTCCATGATGAGCAGTGAAAAACGAAGCAAAGCGGGGAGGCTGATGCAAGCAATGAACAAGGAGTCAGTCGTCGTCTACCGACAGGCGGCGCGTCGAGGTGGGCGGGAACGAGCCGCTCAGGCTGGCATCGCCGCGGTGCGTTGTGGCTCACGAGAGAGACGCGAGGCGAGAGGGTTGAGCATCCGTGGGTGATGGAAAGGAATCGGAGCGAGAGACACGATGGTGGGACGAGGACGGCGGATCGGTTGGGCTGCGGCGGCTGAGGCCGGGATGGTGAAGACAATGGGTTTTGACTTTGATGGATTGCAAGGGGGGGGGGGGGGGGGGGGGGAGGAGGCACCAACCAGAGGCCGGTACGCAAAGGAACTTGGAGTGGTGTGCGGATTCGGTGACGATGGGAGGACCTTTGAGGTACCGGGATTATTTTGTTAGTCGGGTGCATCTGATTGGGCGGAGTACAGCGACAGCTCATATTTTATTTAATGTTTGATTTTCACGATGCCGCAATGACTGCTTGCAGGCGGCGCAAGCTGAGCCTGCGTCATACCGTCACTTGAGTAATTAACGTATTCGTTTGCTCACTTCCAGCACATGGCACTTTTTTTCGCTCCTCATTCGCCACTTGACAAGGCGCAAGTTTATCCATGGACGGAGTAGGAGTAACCTTGTCATTCAATCCAAGCACCCACCAAGGCAAAGCTAGGAGGTATCACTTGCCCATGCAAGGCATCGCAAATGAATAGCAGCCCCCACGCAACCAAGAGTGCTGTCAACTGGTACAAGGCGCCGAGTGCCGAACAGGCGAGGCAAGACAATGGTCGTGACACGGTTGCAATCCGCAAGTTTCTCACTCGTTGGAGACCAACTTTCCCTCACCGAAGCACAGCATCATCAGTCCCAGGCCCAGAGCGAAACAATTCGACCTCGTGACCACAAATCAGGGCCTGAAAAAACACGCATCCAGTTTCCATTACCCCTACTAAACTCCCGCCCACGAATCCGCATCAACACATGACTAAAAAAAAAGGCACCGGAACTTCTCGTTCTCGCCACCAGCCAATCCCCACGCATGCCGCGTCCGTCCGAGGACCCACCTGCCTCCGCGCCGCCCTCGCCCTCCGTCCTCGGAACCAATCGAACGCCAGCCAATCAATCTTATCTGCCGCCTCTCTCTCTTGACGCTCATGGCCATCTTTTGACTCTTTTTTTTAGTCGCGGCTGCAGCGTTGAGCAATTTTTGTTCTTGTTTTGATTTCAGTCGAATCACTCTCGCTCGTTTCTCTTTGACAACCCTCATCCTTCCTTGCGCTCCGCCGTTTTCGTTTCCTGGCTCCTCGCAAGTCCGTCCCGAGTGACGTCCGATAACTCGTCACCCTCGCACATGTAAGCGCAAGCGCACATCAGCCGCCCATTCTTGTTCCTCCTCGCGCGCTGCGTCGTCCTGACATACCCACGATTCCCCTGTCACTACTCACTCCGTCAGAGGTACTTTTCATGCCAAGCCCCGGTCGATGCCCAGGCGCGCGCCGCTGACGAACGACACGCAGACGAATCCTCGGCATGTCACCATCTTCGACTCTTGACCCTCACGCGGCGGGCCTGCCCGAGTCGCGCGTCCTCGTCATCGGCACCGGCGGCACGATATGCATGCAAGAAGGCCCAGACGGACTCGCCCCCAGCGAGGGCTTCCTCGAGACCGCCATGGCGCCTCGGCCAACCTTTAACGACATGTCGGGACTGGACGGTACGTCTTTGCCGCACTCGCCCGCGTCCATTGTGTATGTTCATATTTACATGCAGACGACCGCTGACCAAAACAAAACAGTCAAGCTCCAAGCGTACCGAAACGGGCAGCTCACGTCGCTGGCGTCGCTGCGGACTCCGCCAACCGCGTACCGTCGCCACATCCGCTACGCGGTGCTCGAGTTCACGCCGCTCCTCGACAGCTCGTCCATCTCGGCGTCGGACTGGGCCAGCATGGCGCTGTGCGTCGAGGAAAACTACCACCTCTTCGACGGGTTCGTCATCCTCCACGGCACCGACTCGCTGGCCTACACGGCCTCGGCGCTCTCCTTCATGATGAGCAACCTCGGCAAGCCCGTCATCGTGACGGGGTCGCAGGCGCCCATCTTCGCGCTGCAGTCCGACGCCGTCGACAACCTGCTGGGCTCGCTCATCCTGGCGGGCACCTTCGTGGTGCCCGAGGTCGGCCTCTTCTTCCACCACAAGCTGTACCGCGGCAACCGCACGACCAAGGTGTCCTCGGCCGCCTTCGAGGCCTTCGCCTCGCCCAACTGCGAGCCGCTCGCCAAGGTCGACGGGCTCGGCGTGACGGTCAACTGGCCGCTGGTCCTGCGGCCCACCAGCATCGCCGAGTTCCGGGTCCAGAGGCACCTCGACACGGCGCACGTCGCCTGCGTCCGCGTCTTCCCCGGCATCAAGCCCGAGATGATCGACGCCGTGCTGCGGCTCCCCTCGCTGCGCGGCCTCATCCTCGAGACCTTCGGCATGGGCAACGTCCCCGGCGGGCCCGACGGCCGCCTCACCCGCGCCGTCCGCGCCGCCGTCCAGCGCGGCGTCGTCGTCGTCAACGTCTCCCAGTGCGTGGCGGGCTTCGTGTCGCCCGTCTACGCCCCCGGCACCCACCTCGGCCGCGCCGGCGTCCTCTTCGGCCTCGACCTCACCCCCGAGGCCGCCCTCACCAAGCTCTCCTACCTGCTCGCCCTCCCGGGCCTCACGGACCGCGACCTCTCGGACCGCTTCGCCCGCTCCCTCCGCGGCGAGATGACCGAGGTCGCCCACCCGACCTTCTCCCACCCCGAGCCGCCCCTCGACGCCGCCGCCGCCGCCGCCCGCCTCACCCCCCTCGAGTCCGCCTTCGCCGCCCTCGGCTACGCCATTCAGAGCGGCGAGCTGCCCGTCGTCAGGCACCTGCTCCACGGCGAGGGCAGCCGCCTCCTCCGCACCGCCGACTACGCCGGCAACACCGCCTGCCACCTGGCCGCCGTCAACGGCAACACCGACATCATGCTCGAGCTGCTCAGCCGCGGCGCCAGCGTCCATGAGCGCAACCGCGCCGACAACTCGCCCCTCTTCCTCGCCACCCTCTCCGGCAACGACGACTGCGCCGAGCTGCTCCGCTCCGCCGGCGCCCACCTGAGCCGGGAGGAGATTGAGAGGGGGCCCCTCGCCAAGTACAGACACAAGACCTGACGGACAGGACGGGGACAAGACAAGACAAGACCAGCCGCCTTCATTCACTCCTGGCCACGAGCGGTCATGGCTTTGGTACTTGGCGCACCGTGGCGGCGACGCCTGATACGCCCCTCCCCCCTCCAACAATACAGCTCATCTCGCAACTGTCAAATCAGTCCTGTTGTAAATAGACCAATAGCCCATATGTGGTGGCGTGGCTTGTTGGACTTGGTGTCCGTCCAACCTCCCATCATCGTGGACACCTCATCAGGGAACACGATGAATGTCTGGTGGTGCTCATCACCGCCAATCACTATCACAGAGTCATGTTGTGTAAAGGTCAAAAGCTTACTTGGGCCAAAGCCAAACAACCAACCAACCACTACATTATGAACCATGAACCATGAACCATGAACCATGAGCGTGTTATTTTCTACTGCCCTTATTGGCTGTTCTCGTCATACATACACCTCGCCCGATACACCTGTTGTTCAGGCCAAGACCCCCAACATGACGCCAAAAAGTCATACAGCTTAATCAGTAATCAGTATCCGACCACTACTTCGTGTATCCAGAGCCTCCACCCCTTCTCTTGCTTGCCTGGCTACCAGGTACACATCATTTTAGACGAAACCACGGTGGATAATACCCTTGACGCCATCATGATTTAGGTAGGGGTTGCCGCCTCCATCTAGCTACTAATGGTATATTCACAATTCATCAATTGCTTCTTTATCGAAGAAAGAGATCCCCAACGCCATTTCTGAGCGATCTGGTTCTATCCACGTGATCGAGGCCGAGATAATCATCCTCGGTTGCCGCCATGGTCCATAATTCATCATCTGCCATTGTTGTCAGCAGTGGCGCTTGATGCGCCGTTGCATGAGCAAGCACTCACCGTCACTGAGATATTGGGGTTTTGAGTAATTTGCCCGGCGGACGACTGCAAACTTGATTTTTTCAAAACTCTTGCCTTTGAGGCCAGTACGCTTCTCAAGGCGTTTCTTGGTGTCTGCAAATTTCTCACCCTAAGAGTTGTCAGGACTAGCCACTTGCTGAATGTCGCCCACGCTGCCTCATCTGTGCTTACCTCGACGAGAAGGAATTGGAATGGTATGCCGTGAACTCTATTTACTTCGTTCTGGAAGTGAAAGACTTGAATAAAGTTCTCTTCGGGTGCCAGGGCCTCGTCATCCGACATTCGCTCGGCGTAGAGTTGTGTGTACTCGTTGAGGTTCATAACCGGATGCTCTCTACGTGGTTCCCGATAGAATCTATTTGAGCTCGTTTCATACACTCTTATCTTGCCGCCTTCCTGTTCGTCGGGTATTTGGGCCTTTTTCACCAAAGCTTGGATCAGGTCGTCAATGGTGCCGGTTTTTGGGACAAGCAAGTCAAAATGATCCTACAAACACCTGTTGTCAGCTCGATTGCTTCTAGAGCAATGCATCATCCCATGCGGTCGCATACCTCTCTGGTAATACCCTCGCTCAACCAAGTGATCTTGATGCTCTTCTTGGTATCTAGCTCGGCCAGGCTCATTTCCAGTACCTCAAAGTAGAACGCATCTCCCCGCTGGCTGGAATTGAGACTGTTTCCCATTGGATTTAATATCTGTCTCAGACTAGGGTTAGTTCCCCGTCGGACTGGGGCTTTGGGGTTGTTTGTCGTGGCATTGACGGTCCAAAGGCGAATATGCGTAGGCGGAATGCTCAAGTAAGAACCAACTCTCTCCGAGAGTGCATCGTAGTTGATCTTCGAGTTGAGGACAAGGTCAAATGGCGAATACTGGGTCTGGTCGCATCTGGTCGGGTGGGGGTGAAATCGAACGGTTCTCTTGTTCTCAAGGAAGTCGTAGTATTCTCGGGCGTCCTCGAATCGCTCCAAGGATCGACTACTAAATGGTTAGCCACTACAAGATGGCATCACTGCATGACACTCACGGCTCTTGCAGGGGTCTGTCTTGTGCCTCTGCTTGTTCTGCTTGGCGTCCAGATGAGCGCTGGAAGCAAATAATATCACCATCCTGCAGCTCAGCAACTTTGAGAGTCTGTTTGGCTTTCAAGGGCTCAATCATGGTTGGTTTGATTTCCTGGACATGTCAGCGTATTGCTCAGAGTTCACCCTGAAACTGGGAGTGCCATACTTCCCACAAGAGAAGCTTCTCCTCGGCAGGCAGCTTGTCGCCCCAGCCCATCTTCTCAAGTATCTGGGGGACCAAGTCCTCAACTTTCCTCTCCTTGCCAATGTAGACGTGGCCAACGCCGCGTAAAGCTTGAGTATCGGCGTCAAAGTGCTTTAGAAACAAGAGAATGGTATCGTTCTTAACGACTACACCGTTTGCCTGGCTCTGGTACGATGGCCAGATAGGCTCGCCATCAGCATCCAGCTGCTCAGCAACCTCAGCCCAGACCCGCAGGCTGGTGTCCCGGTGCGCGGCGGATCGACTGTAAATTTCTTCGACGGTTGGGCGGAGATCCATGATTGGCTGATCAGGCCGAATGGTCTTGTTTTGCCGATTCACCATCAGCCAGAGTCGCACTTTGCGAGGATCTTGGTCCATGTCTTTCGCAACCTGGTTGGTGAACTCTTCCATGGTCATCGCGCGGCGGACTCGGTAGGATCGTGGCGAAGCCTCATCCGTCTCCTGGTTCGAGTCAAATGTACACAGATCGGTAGAGCCATAGTGACGGAATGTATCGTCCGTGATGACCTTGGCCATCATGTAGAGATGTGCTTCTCGCTGCTCACGCCTGCGTGCCTCCTTAAGGGCATACTCTTCTTCGAACCGCTGTTCTGCAAAGATTGTCAGCTTACTTGGGGAACAACGTCGGGACGGAGGGGGACATACGCAGGTGCAGAGGGATGTGATTCTTCTGTACATCGCACAGAATCTTGTCGAGTTTCGACTGACGGATGTACACCAACATGTATGCGCTGTTCTGGCGAATGACTGGGGCCTTCTTTTGAAGCGGAGCACGAGGATACCCGTTGGGAGTCCTGTACTCTCCACCAAAATTCTCCTCCAAAACTTCTCTGGATGTGGCGCGTGTGACTTTGTCGTCGTCGTACTTGTAGAACCATCCATCCTTCTCTGGCTTGATAAAGGCGTAGTAGTGCCCCGCGTTCAAATCACCACTGTGGACGAGTACTCCGTGAAGTTGGTATGTCCAGGGCTCAGACTTGTCGGCATCCTCTATCAGATAAGGAGCGGCATCAAAGACATCGGGAAATTCATAGCGGTCATTGATCTTCATCATCATGTCCCTTTGAATGTCGTACTCGAATCGCTTGAGCTGCAAGTGCAGAACGTCGGGGAAACTGGTAAAGATGACGCCCTTGTTGGCATCCTGCAACTTGTGCTCGTCTCCGGCAAAGTACTGGTTTTCCCCGTCCATCTTCTCAACTTGAATGTAGTCTTGAAAACTTTCCAGCAAGTTCTTGTTACCACTGACATTGAGCTGAATATCCCAGAAGTCCTCAATGCGGCTTGATTCGTAGTCCACGTTGATACAAGAGATGTAAGTCTTGATCTTGCCACTGAACATTTCTGGGAGAACATTTTCGGCCTTGGTGCCCTTCATCTTCTCTTCCATCCTCTCCATCAGTTTCCGTGACAGTTCTTGAACATCTTGCTGTTCAAAGATGTGGCGCGTCTCCCAGCCAAATGATTTGGTTAATTCATTGGTCCCAACTGCTTGGTCGGAGGTCTGGAGCTGATAGAAGAGCCGCTGTAGTGTGTAGGCAGAATTTTGCATGCTCTCGTCGTTCTCTGTCGGAATTTCATAAACAGCCTAAAAGCCTGTTAATTTGGCAAAAGGGCGCGCGCGGGGGTAGCAAAGGGGAGGAGAAATGTACCTTGCGGAAGGCATTGGTAAAGTAGAGTGACTGGAGCAAGCTGTTCAAGTAGCAAGTAGCACCTTGGTTTTTCAGACCGACATAGCCGGTTTCTTTCTTAGAGTCATAGTTGATAAAGTTGTGCCACAGCACACCGGTCTCGTCCTCCACAACACGAACGTAGGCCGTTATGTTTGCTGCGTCGTTCTCACACAATGGCCGCGTGCCATGCTCCCAGGGCACATTGAACATTCTTCGATGCTCGACAAAGCGAGTGAAGCCCCAATCGCCCTCCTCCTTGGTAAACCTGTGGTGCGCGGCATGATGAACGTACAAGGTTGGGTCGTTGGGGTTCCAAAGCACGAGAGCAAATTGTACACAGGCGCTCCAGTTTTCTGGCACAGCGTCTGCTTCGAAGCCATGTTCCAAGTAGATGGAACACTGATCGGTGTTGTTGCCATGCGGGAAGAGGAGAATCCGCCTGTAACGCCAAGAGCAAGTGGTTAATGATGGACGAGCCAGACGGACGAGGCCAAGACGGCAGCAATACTGGGGTATACACGTACCAAGGGTAGCCACCAGCCTGGAATATGGGGCCATGCTCCCTCTTTCCCATGCTCCTCCAGTTCTCAACGGTCCATGTGTCGTGAGCATCCTCGAGGATCTTGGGTTCGTCGAGTAACGGAGGCAGGACGAGGTCTCTCATAGCCTCATCTACACGCCGCATGTTAGCTGCATTTGTAGAGCATCGTCGGGGTGGACCGGTCGAGGGGCAAACGTACAGTCGTTAGCCAGAGGAAGGTCTTGGAGTTGCTGGTCTGAGTCGCTCTGTTCGAGGCCGTCGGGGTTGATGATGGCAACCGAGTCCTTGTCTGGAGGATTGGCGACACCGACATAGTCGTCCGTGTCCACCACCATCTCGTTGGGGGAGTCAACATTGTAGCTCTGTCGGTTTCGGTCATGGCTGTTAGTCTTTGGTCTCGGGCGATGAGGCAAAAAGCGGCTGGCAAAAGCCATCGTGGGCTATGCAACGAGAGAGGACAGGGCAGCAGTAGAGCAGCACTGCGACAATGTCGGGTTCCGGTTGGATGACGGCGCGACTCAAAAGTGCACAAGGTCTGGTACGGGGACAGAGTCGGGCATCAAAACATGGCGCAGCAACCTTCGTCTCTGTCGGCCCGGGAGCAGATATTTGAATGTGCAAGGACGCAGCAACAGGTCTCTTGTCAACGGGGCGCTTTGTTCGGATGAAGTGCAAACAAGGGCAGAGAGTACAGGTGGCATCGGTTCAATGTCTGTGAAGAGACATGACATGACATGAAGCGTCACGGTGCCAATGGCAAAGAAGCAAAGGTTCAGGGGACGCGGACACAGCAACAGCGGCGTCTGAGGCGAGATTGCCCCCGGGATTGATGGAGAGAGGCCATGGCCAGCCGTCGCAGCCGGTCGTCGGTCTCCTCACCAGGTTTGGGCAGGCCGCAGGTGCCAGAGTGCCAGACTTGAGGAGTACGTGAGGCATGTACCGAACAAAACATTGAAGCAGACTCGAAAAATCTCAAGAGGGAAGGAGCATCGCAGGAGGGGGCATTTTCGTGTTTGCTCGGGGGGTTCTCTCTCTCTCTCTCTCTCTCTCTCTCTCTCTTACCATGTTGACGGCAGCCAGCAGGACGAGGCCAGCTCAGGCTCCACACAGCTCCCGGATCAAAAGCTCGAAAAGCTCGCACAGCCAGACAGACGAGCGAAAACTGGCCAGACACGGTCCGCAGGGACAAAGGACGCGGGCGCGCCAGGCTACGTCCCAGGTATCCGGGTCGAGGGCGGGATTGGATGCTGCAATCGTGCGTGTCAGCACTGGCGAGGCTCAAGAGTCTGGTCAAGATGGGCGTTCCGGCAACCCGGCAACGCGGCAACGGTTCGGTGGACGGCGTACGGCGGCGGACGGCGTGCCTGCACGAGCGGTGGTTGTCAGCGACACGTTCGACTCGTGCTCTGTGTGGAGGTGATGTTCAATGTGTAATAATGAATAATGTCAAGGTGCTGCTGCAGCGATGCCTGGACGGGCCAACGGGCAAGACGGGGGGGGGTCTGGGTCTGGTGGCAAAAGACGGCGGCAGCGGCAGCGGCGAAGGCGACACGACGACGACGACGACGTCAACGCTGGGCAGTCGAATCGACATTGATGCGGCGGCGGCAACAGCAGAGCGGCGGCGGCACTCACTAGCACCGGCAACTGCCAGCTTCCAAGGTTTGCGGCGCCAGCGTGCGGACATGAAGGATACAGGAGACGTACAGCGGGCACCAGACAGCTCTCACTCAGCAGCTCAGGTCTACAACTGCTCGATGCTTGCTTGGCTTTTCTGCGAGACTGCCTGCAAGCGGATAAGTTCTTTTGCGGCAATCTAAGTACCTCTTGAGTACCTCCAGGTACGGAGGACGGAGGACGGCGGGCGGACGGGCGGGCGGTAGGTACTTGGACGGACAGGACAAGGAGTCAAGGACAGCACGTTACAGACGAGTGTCAGGGCCACGGCCACTGCCACTGCCACTGCCAGTCACAAGAGTGGGCACGCGAGATGGAGGCAAAACCTCGGTCTCGGAGGGCAAGCACGTTGCAATTATCAATGTAGCCGAGAGACGTGAGGGGAACAGTCAAGTGCAGAATGGAGTTGGTCGCTCCATTACGCGGCGGGGTGGCCCTTTTTTTTTTTTTGTCCGTTTCCGCCGTCATGGCATGGTCGGTTCAGAGCGCTGTGGACTCTGTCTGACTGACCAGCATGCGTTGCCAACTCCAGGTCAGCTTCAGAACAGCAAATGAGAGGGCCTGGAACCAAAGACAGAGATGGAAGCACGTGAGCTAGGGTTGTCGTTTGAAATTTCACGGAAACAATGGGCCAACGTCGACGGCGGAAAGGTCAGATCCTGCCGACGCTTATGCACTCCGCACCCGACGACATTCGTGCCGAAAACTGAAACCCGTTGGCGATGCAGCGCGCCACCTGTGATGGGCAGTGGGCTCGGGAGGAACAGGAGACGGCGAAGGGTGCTTGAGTAGACAGAGGACGGACAGTAGAGTAGACAATGGACTGCAGGGACCTGTCTGATGCGATTCCATGTGCTGGGCTACGAGTTGACACCGACTGACTGACGCCTTTCACATGGAACCGAAGTCGTGACTGGTCAGTACGATTACGTATTACGTACTTGCGAAGGAAGCAGCACTCCGCACATGGTGAGTGGCATGATGGCATCTCACGGGTCAATGTTACCCTGCAGCTCCCTCTAGGGCCAAGCTCGGGCTGGCCTGAACCAGTCGAGACTGGATGGGTCTCGTCGCGCTTCCGAGTCCCGATACCGCTCCTGGATCTTATCTTGGACCTGGCCACGCCGTCCCGGCTGCATCTTTGCCATGCATACAAGTCCCGCGTCCCATGTCCCTTGCCTCGCCTTGCCTTGCCTTGCCGTAGTCTTCAGTCTTCAGGCATATGTCACTCACATGTGAGTGAGCCTTGGAAGCCCAACCCCAGAGTTGGCCGTGTCACAATCATGTCGACCCAACCTGCTCTGTGCGTGGTACCGAGTACTCCCTACGCGCCTCATAATGCCATCGTCTCGTCCATCCCGCATCCCACGCAGCCCAAGTCTTCCTTGCTTTGCTCCTCGCTCCTTGCTCCTCGACTCCAACTCCCACTTGCCATTGCCACACCCTCATTGTGTGCACAAATCGCCCATGGGCCATGGCATCCTCAAGTGAGAGCTCCCACGCTACTTAATGCCCCTGTGGACCCCCGATTGCCTGTCTCGCCTCAAGTTCCCACGCGACCGATCTCGCTCTCGCTCACACGAGCTCCCGCCATCACGCAAGGAAAAATAAAGGACAAAAGTGTCTTGCTCGACATCTCTCTCGCTCTCTCCCGCCGCATGGAACTCGCATCATGCTCTTCACCGCGCTGTGCAACACCGGGAAGCGGTGCACATTGAGCCGCAGCAGCGCCGTGCTCGCAGCCGCAGCCAGAAGTGCAGTCGCCCAGCCGGAATGTCCTACTCCTACTGCTACGACTACAATATCATCATCATCATCATCATCATCATCATCATCACCCTCACCGTCGTCGCCATCGTCGCCATCGTCTCCCTCACCCTCACCAATCTGCCCCCGGCATGGACAACACCAGCAGACGCGCAAAGCTAGCAACGGCACCTGGCGACCTGTATCTGTTTTGGACGAGTATGTGTCAAATCACCCACCCCCCCCTCGACCCTTCCGACACTCTGACAAAATCACGACCACGCATAGATGGGTAGCAAGAGAAGCAAGGCCCATAAGCCTGCGGCAGCTCATGGTCTTTGGCCGCTCTCTGACCGAGTCACGCCTCATCAGCTCGGCAAACTATGTCCGGACAGAGCTTCCAGCCAGGCAAGTCACAGTCAAACGTCAAACAATGCCTCCACGCTCGGAATCAGACCCCGACTCGCTAACAGCCTCCCTTTCCTTGCAGAATAGCCCATCGCCTCCGAGACATGCAACAGCTGCCCTACGTCGTCGTAACCAATCCGCACATCAGCGAAGTCTACGACCTCTACTACAACGCATTCGACCAATTGCGCAAACTCAAAGAAATCAAGACGCTTGAGGACAACGAGAAACTATGCGACATCATCCGCCACAACCTCAAGGGCCACCTGACCGTCATACCCAAGCTAGCTATGGGCATCCTCGAGTGCGGCGGGCTCATGGATCCCCAAGATCTCGACAAATTCATGAACACCATCCTTACTCGTATACCGGAGCCAGAAAAAAGAATAAAAAGAACTCACGCCCCGAAGCGAATCTCCCGCCGCGTCATCGCCGAGCAGCACCTGTCCCTCACCGAAACCTTCAACTCACCCTACTTCTCGCCCGGCGCGAAACTCTCCGAATCCGACTTCATCGGCGAAGTCTTTATCAAATGCTCCGCCAAGGACGTCATCACGCGGTGCGCCAAAGCCGTTACGGCCCTCGCCCGCTCCACCAACGGCCCGGACGCGCCCATACCGGACGTCAACGTCGTCGGCCACCTCGACGCAAGCTTCCCCTACATCCTCAGCCACATCGAGTACATTGTCGGCGAGCTCCTCCGCAACTCGGTCCAGGCCGTTGTTGAGCGACACCAGAAACAACGGAACCCCTCGCCCGCCCCTCCCCCCGTCGAGGTCACCATCTGCGAGGCCCAAGAACACGTCATATTCCGCATATCCGACCGCGGCGGCGGCATCCCCCGCGCCGAACTACCCTACCTGTGGTCCTTCTCCAAGGGTCCGCAGTCGGCCAAGCGCCTCGAGAACCTCGGCCAGGTCCCTCGCATGGCCGCCACAATGGAGGAGCTCCACGTCGAGGACGAGCTGGGCCGCGCCGACCTCAAGGCCCCTGCCGCCTACCAGAGCTCCCTCTCCTCGCTGACCAGCAGGCCTCCCAACCTGCGACTGGGCATGGGCCTGCCGCTGAGCAGAGTGTACGCAGAGTACTGGGCCGGCAGTCTAAACCTGCACAGTCTCGAAGGCTACGGCGTGGATGCGTTCCTGCAGATATCCAGACTGGGCAATAAGAATGAACAGCTTGTTACGAGAGCAAGCATGGACTCTGTCTAGGGAGTCGAGACAACTTACGCACGTGATGGGGCAGGGCAGTATTTCCCATACCGGCTGGCAAGGCGGAAGCAGGCAGTCTAGGATATTTTGGCAAACCTAGTCATTGCTAGCGATGAAGTTTGTCTTGCCGTGTGGACTTGTTTTTTTTTTTTTTTTTGTCTTTTTTTCCTCAAAACGAAACTCATACGAGCACGGAGTTGGTGAGACGGGCATTTAGTGTACAAACGACTGCGCTAAGACAGCGAAATCTTCACATATATTAAGGGCTTTTACAATTCTTGACTGGCGTCAGGTCGATTTACGAAAACAGTGACTTGAATTACTTCCGCCAAATAAAACACTTGGCTGGCTGAGAAACGGTGCTTGAGTGTAAAACAAGCAAATAAAAATAAGGCCGCATGATTAAAAAAAAAACCAGCCTGCGTTGCACGCGCCCCTATTTGTCTGCAAATAAAGGAGGCTTTACTTCTCCGTGACTGCCCGGCCCATCCTGGACCCGGAATGAAGTGTCCGTCAGCCGCAAGCCTGCGTGAGGCCTCGTTTGCCCTAGGACTCACGAAAGCCCGACGTGAGACTCCTCGAGACGCTTGGGTGGTATTAGCAGGTTACCTCGGTATCCGTGATGCCCCTTTTCCTCATCCGCTTCGGTATTCATCGACCATGACTTTAAAAAAGAAAAAGAAATTACAGTCATTTTCCGACTCCTAGCCCCCAATACACATCAGGCGAGCCAGAAAGGGATTTCCAGCTTGTCCAACGTTGAAATTGCTTTCTTAACTAGGTGCTCGCAAATTAGCGGCGGCCGTGGCTGCGGACGGCACTGCCCTGCATCTGCTCGAGCTCGGTTTCCAGCTGCTTGATCTGGGCGTGGGTCTGTTCGAGATCCTTGTTGAGGCGGTCGCGCTCGGCAATAAGCTTTTGCTCCCACTGTCGGAACCGCTGCTCTTCGATCTTGACCTGTTCGGTAAAACGCTTGCGCAGAGCCTCCTCCTCTTCCTTGAACTTGGGGTTGTCCAGCTTGCGGGGCCGGGCTTCGCCAAACTTGCGAGTCTCCATCTGCTGAGCACGGTACGCCTCGTAGTGCAGCTCTTCCGTAGTGTGAATGAGGTCGAGCATGTGGGTTCTGATCAAGATGGAGCGGAGCTTCTTGAAGTCGCAGTGATCTTCATTTTCGACCTCCGCAACGCCCCATGAGTATTGGCGTCCCTTGACAATGCGGCCATCGTTGGTCTTGACGTCCTTCTCAGAACCAATAACGGCGAAAGGCATAGCGGCCATGAGGCTTCGGGCGTGTTGGGCAGCGGCTTCGTCATCCTCTTCGACAGGGGGCTGATAGATCTTGATGTTCTGGGCCTCAATGACAGAGATGATCTAAGGCGGTTGTTAGTAACAAGGCAGGCATGGAAAAAGCTCGTGGTGCGGATAATCGTACTCTTTGCTTGAACTTGGCCAGGTCGGCGGGACTCAGGGTGTCGGCCTTGGCAATAACAGGGATCAAGTTGACCCGAGAGCAGAGTCTCTTCATGACCTCAATGTCGAGAGGCTTCAGGGTGTGGCCGGTAGGGCGAATGAAGTACAAGCAAGCGTGGACTCGAAGGTCAATCTTGTCCTGACGGCGAGGCTGCTGCTCCTGAAGCATGTAGGATTCGTGCTGGTCGTCGAGGAACTCGATGATGGGCATCCAAGAGTCACGATTGTTGACATAGTCGCCGAATCCGGGAGTGTCAATGACGGTCAGACGAACTAATTCACGGTCAGCTGATGCCATTCCATCCTGATTTGCAACATCGCTGCACACCCTTGAAAAACTTCTCCTCGAGCTCAGCCTTGGTGATCTCGATTTCGACAGTCTTGTCGACTTGCTTCTGGTGTCTGCGTTTGTGGTCGGCATAGTTCTTGATGGTGGTGGAGAAAAGCGTGTTGATGAAGGTAGTCTTTCCCAGACCAGACTCGCCAGCAACCTGACTTCAGTTAGTATTAACCCAATCAGCGGAAGAATGAAGAACCTTGAAAGAGATGCTCTTCTCGATTGAATGAACATACCATAATGGTGAAGCTGGCTCCCCGCTTGGCGACAATCTTGTGTCGTTGGTTAGGGAGATTGGCAATGCCAATCGGTGAAGCGCTCTCAGCAGCTGGGGCCATCTTGAAGACGCGTGGAAGAAACGACTGAGGGGGAGTACTCGGCCTTGAAGCTAGTTAGAGGCAGACAAGCTGGGCCGCCGTGAAAACGACAAGGAGATTTCAGGTTTGAAGACGGAACCGAGCAGAAGGATGGAGTCGGAAGCAGGTGGAGGTTGGAGCCTGATAGATTGAGTAGATGTACTGCGTACTCTCAGGGGCAGAAGGGGGATGAAGACAAGCCCTGCTCGCTGTCTCTGGCACGAGTCCTCAAAGTGCCACATTAATTTGGTTGGCTGAGCCGCCTGCAATGGACTAGCACTACCACCAGGGCCACAGGGGGCAGGTGCTGGTCCCTATTTCGCTGCCCATCACTCCGGGGTCGCTAATGCATGGCGCTTGGCCCAATAGGGCTTGGATACCAGGTCAGGAACAATTATCTGCCGGCCCCTTCGACTCCCTATTGGTGGTGGACTGCGTCAGTGAAGCTCCATGTTATCGATAACGCCAAAATTTCGTCGACGGATTGATAGAGCAGCAGTGTCTGCATCATCTCTGGCCCTATAAGTAGACGGCGATAATGAAGACCGACTTCAAGGTAAGAAGTGCATTTCTCCTCTCTCTTTCCTCTCCCAGATTTTCTCCGGCGCACGTTTTCTCCTTGTTCACCCGGGCAACGCTCTAACATGCGCAGTTCTCGAACTTGCTGGGTACCGTCTACTGCCAGGGCAACTTGCTCTTTAGTCCCGATGGCACCCATCTGTTCTCACCAGTCGGTAACAGAGTGACCGTCTTTAATCTAGTAGAGTAAGTTCATTCATGCGGAAAAGAGTCATATCAATGGATCAATTAACTAACGCCTCAACGTGCAGAAACAAATCACACACCCTACCATTCGCCCATCGCAAAAACATTTCACGAATCGGCCTCACACCCCGCGGCAATCTCCTCCTCACCGTCGACGAAGATGGACAAGCCATATTAACTAACGTCATTCGCCGAATTGCCATCTACCACTTCTCTTTCCGATCAAGTGTGACGGCTCTCGCATTCTCTCCCTCAGGGAGGCACTTTGCAGTCGGGCTGGGGCGCGTGATCGAAGTTTGGCATGTCCCTTCAACGCCGGATACGAATGCCGGCGGCGAGCTCGAGTTCGCACCATTCGTTAGACACCATAGGCATACAGGTCATTTCGATGACGTGCGACATATCGAGTGGTCGAGCGACTCGCGATTCTTTCTCACGGCATCCAAGGATCTGACGGCGCGAATATGGAGCTTGGATCAAGAGGAAGGCTTTTCCCCTACTGTTCTGTCAGGTCACAAGCAGACCGTCCTCGGTGCTTGGTTCTCTGAAGACCAGGAAACAATCTATACTGTCAGTAAAGACGGTGCTGTGTTTGAATGGCGCTACGTCAAGCCCATCAATTCCAAGGAAGCCGACGAGGTGCACGACGCGGATGACGATTCCGATATGCGATGGAGAATAGTGCAAAAACATTACTTCATGCAGGGAAGCGCCCATATCAGATGCGCCGCGTTCCATCCCCAATCAAACCTTTTGGTTGCCGGATTCTCCAACGGGGTCTTTGGGTTGTACGAAATGCCCGACTTTAATAATATCCACAAACTCAGCATTTCGCAAAACGACATTGATTTTGTCACGATTAACAAGAGCGGAGAGTGGTTAGCATTTGGCGCTTCAAAACTAGGGCAGCTGTTGGTGTGGGAATGGCAATCAGAGTCGTACATCCTAAAGCAGCAAGGCCATTTCGATGCCATGAATTCTCTGGTGTACTCACCTGATGGACGGCGAATCATCACCACTGCAGACGACGGAAAGATTAAAGTTTGGGACATTGAATCCGGGTTTTGCATTGTGACATTTACGGAACACAGCAGCGGTGTGACAGCATGCGAGTTCGCCAAGAAGGGCAATGTGCTCTTCACGGCCAGTTTGGATGGATCTATTCGAGCATGGGATTTGATTCGATACCGAAACTTTCGGACATTCACGGCACCGACGCGACTCTCATTCTCATGTATGGCCGTCGACCCAAGTGGCGAAGTCGTTGCCGCAGGATCTCTCGACTCCTTCGACGTCCACATCTGGTCTGTACAAACCGGCCAGCTTCTCGACCAAATGTCCGGCCACGAAGGACCCGTCTCGGCACTGGTATTCTCACCCAACGGCGACTCCCTGGTCAGCGGCAGCTGGGATCGCACTGCGCGAATCTGGTCCATCTTTAACCGCACCCAGACGAGCGAGCCTCTCCAGCTACAAGCAGACGTCTTGGACATTGCCGTACGGCCAGACTCACTACAGCTAGCCATCTCGACGCTAGACGGACAGTTGACGTTCTGGTCCGTGGCCGACGCTGAGCAGGTTGCTGGCCTGGACGGTCGGCGCGACGCTTCCGGTGGGCGGAAATTCAGTGACCGCAGAACAGCAGCCAACGTGCAAGGAACCAAGAGCTTCAACTCGATCAGATACAGCACCGACGGAAGTTGCCTCCTCGCGGGCGGCAACAGCAAGTACATTTGTCTCTACTCGGTGACTACGATGGTGCTTCTCAAGAAGTTTACCGTCAGCGTGAACCTCTCCCTGTCTGGCACGCAGGAGTTCCTCAACAGCAAACGCCTCACAGAGGCAGGGCCCGCGGACGAGCTGGACGACCAGGGCGAGGCATCGGACCGCGAGGACCGCATCGACTCCGGCCTCCCTGGCTCAAAACGAGGCGGCGATCCGTCGGCCCGCAAGAAACTGCCAGCCGTTCGCGTCAATGGTGTCGCCTTCTCACCGGCCGGAACGGCCTTCTGCGCAGCATCAACAGAAGGTCTACTCATCTACAGCCTCGACGACACGGTCCAGTTCGATCCGTTTGATCTCAGCATGGAGATCACGCCGGCATCGACATTAAACGTCCTCGAATGCGAAAAAGATTATCTCAAGGCGCTCGTCATGGCGTTCCGTCTCAACGAGGCTGGTCTCGTCAAGCGTGTGTTCCAGGCCGTGCCCCCATCAGACATATTCCTCGTAGTAGGTGACTTGCCCACCGTCTACGTATCAAGGTTATTGCGGTTCGTGGCCGCGCAGACCGAAGAGTCGCCGCATATCGAGTTTTGCCTACTGTGGACAAAGGCACTTGTCGACAAGCACGGCAAGTGGTTGGCGGCAAACAGGGGCAAAGTGGACGTTGAGCTGCGGGCTGTTTCACGCGCAAGTTCCAGGATGCGGGACGAGATCAGGACGCTGGCCGATGAAAATGTCTACATGGTGGACTACTTGTTGAGACAGGCTGGGAAGGGGATGGACGCGGGTCAGGGCACAAAGGTGGTCGAGGGCAGGGGGAGTTTGGCGATGGAATTGGCGGGCAGCGATGAGGGGGACTCTGACGACTCTGACGAGTGGATTAGATTAGAATAGGCGTTTTGCACATGGAATACGATACCAGTGTTTAACTGAAAGGCTTCGCTTGGGGCCATGGCTTTGCTGGGCCCGGCCAGACCAGACATGACATGACGCGGACCCTGCGCGGAGGCCATTATTCGGGCTGCAACTGCCATCGACAAACCAAGCCGACTCGACCTGCATGCATCATCAAGTTGCGGCCGACGGGAGAGAGAGGAGAAAACATGCACGAGCCATCTCCGCGCGTGGTTGCCGATGTTGCCATGGGCCCGTGAGTCCATGACGGCTGATGGCAGACGGCCGACAGCCGACAGCCGCCATCCCCGCCGCGGAATTAGTCAAAACAACCCGGTCGCATTTCTCACAACCTCGAGAGTCGAGGACATTCGCAGACATCCGCTAGCTTCCCGCGATTGCAACCACACCGCAACATGTCATTTGTCAGAAATCGAGCCTTGTCTCGCCATAACTCGCGAACCAGGCCGGCATGAAGTCAACTACATCGCTACGACCTTCTGCGGAAGGTGTGAAGCCACACACGCCCGAGGCTTGAAGTTGCCCCCCCCCACCCAACCAACGGCGGCACCCTCCTCCATTCCGAAGCCGCGACCATCGCCAGCAGCAAGGCTATATAAGCCGCGAAATACCACCGCAGGCTGGGCTCATGTACTCCCTGTCGAGGATCCTTCCACGCACGACTGCGCAGCTCACGGCATCACCACGGTCGAGGATAGCCGCCCGTTGGTGTTCGATTCGGTCCCAACTCGCCGCCAGTATGGCTTCTGCCTCGCGTATCGTCGTCGGGGCGGAGGACAAGGACCTGTGGAGCGCCGCCCAAGGCAACCAAGGCAGCCGAGATGAGGAGGCGGCCGCAAAGGCATCCGAGCTGTTGCAGGCAGACTTGACGGTATGTCTGGGACCGTTCCACCACGTTCTGAGTCGAGGCCCTTCCTCGGTCTTGGCTCTCGACTCTCGAGAACCCGGATCAGAGTCAGAATGCTAACGGTGACAGAAATACCACGTCTTCTTCAACACCCTCGGCTACCACAACCACGTACACTCGCCCCCCCTGCGCGCCAGTTCTGACCTTCTACAAACCCCAATGTTCTGACAAGACCAGCTCGTTCACCAAGTCCTCACCCTCTACAGCACCGGTGCACCCGCCTCCGTCATCCAAGCCGCCTTCGACGCCAACAAAAGCTACCAGATCGACCGCCTCCCCACGCACCCGCACGTCGTCGCCGAGCTCCATACCGACTTCGCCGCCCATGCGCCAAAGTACCTCGGACGTGCCGACCACTACCCCGACTTCCTGCGCTTCTTCCAGGACGAAATCGACAAGCGCGGATGGCAGGCCGTCATTGGCGAATTCCTGTGCTCCGACGGCCCCGTGGCGCGCCACATGGTGCAGCGGCTCTTCTCGGGCATCGCCCATCCCATGATCCAGCTGGGCTTCGGCCTCGAGTGGGAGCAGCCGGCAATCATGGCCGAGGGCCTCGCCCAGACCGCCGTCCATCACAACCCCCTGGGCAACTTCTTCGACCGCGTCGACGAGGCGGTCCGGGCCCCCGGACCGGCCGACACGGACGTCCCGCGCAGGGGCCTGTCCGACCTGTGCGAGAAGATGCAGAGGGAGAACCCCAAGCTGGCAAGTGCGTCAACGTGGCGCGACGGCGACGGGAGCTTGTACGACGGCGTGCTAGGCCGCGGCCTGGAGGACGCCGTCGCGCTGTGCGCAAACATCAGAGTCAGGCAGCACGACTACGAGGAGCGAGTGGCCGAGGCCATCCACCACAACGCCTACGTCGCGGCCAGTGCCTCTTGGAAACCGCCCCATATTCCGAAATACGACTTCTACCTCATGTAGGTGTTTGTCTTTTTTTTTTTTTTTTTTTTTTTTTTTTTTTGCAGAAGTGTCCCTCCCCCGGGCAGCTAATAGAAATGGCTAACGCTTTCCGGACCCAGGCACTCTCTCAACTCGTCCATGTTCCTCCTCTGCCTGGACAAGCCGTGCTTCCCAGTGTCCGCAAGGCTGCGCATCCTCGAGCACAAGATGCGCTACGACGTGGTGCAGTACGTCGCGCGCGGGTGTCCGGCGCTGTCGCCCTCCCACGTGACCAACTACGACCCGGGGGAGCGGCTCGTCCGCCGGCCAGAGGACCTGCTCCCCCGCTACCACGGCATCATTGACGACGGGCACGTCATCAAGGCGGCCCGGTCGCTGCTCCTCGCGCAGCGCGTGTCGCGCAAGTGGGCGGGCAAGGCGTGGATCAGGATAGCCCAGGACCAGGACTGGCTCAAGGCGCACTACATGCTGCTGAAGAGCGTGGAGGGACAGGAGCCCCCGTGGGTGAGGAGCGCCGGCTTCGACGAGGCCTGGTCCGCCGTTCCCAGGCTGGAGTAGGACCCGGGGGGAGGGGCGGCTCTGCCGTTCGATTCGAGCTTCTCGGCCTCGCTCCCCCGGCAGGCGAGCCGAGCCTGCTCTGCTCGCTCACATCCACCATGGGGCCGAGAGCGCCACCGGCAGCGCCACGTACGACTTCCAACTTGTTGCTCTAGACGCGAGTGTGCGCTTTGGGAGTGCCGATGACGTTGTGTCCCGTCTCTGTGCTGCTTCCACTTCCATTGTCAATAAACGACAGGACAACCTCGAGCAGCCACAACATCACAGAACATGTGGCAATTGTGCAACTGACATCTCGACCAAGAACGGGGGGGG